TGTTCATCAGATAACTCTGGTGTCATTAGGGAGCCAGATCCTCTGTAGGGCAAGTGGCCATGGGGAGGGGGATATAAAGCTGCCTTCTGAGGAACAGAGAGGGTAACAGCAGTATTTGGAAGCTTTTAGTGACCTTGTGTTTAAATGGCATCTATGACGAAAAGTCGTTTCTGGGTGTCACTGAAAGGTTGTGATGGGGAGGGGAGGATGGAGTAGGCGTGGTGGGGACAGCATCCCTGATGCCACAACTATGGGAATCTGCAGGCCCCATGTCTTGTGTGCTCACTTGTTGATAAAGTCAATCACCACTTTCTGGAATCTTCTTTTCTGGAGCACCCTTTCCCTTTGACTGGGTTGTTAGCTTGTTCCATTGTCCATTCAGAAAGCTCACCACCCTCACCCTATGTTAATCTCCTTGTGTGTTTTGCGGATCCCCAGTCTCTGCTGCAGTTTATGGAATGACACGCAGTGTTATTTACTCAGCTTAGTGTATTTTAGTCAATAGGGAAAACATGGAAATACGTGTCTGTATTTCTATCGGCTTAATATTGACATGTTGATTGGGTTTTAAATATCATGAAGTTCAATAAATGCTCAATCATAAGCATAATGTGTTCTGTTGTCTGTACATCTAGAGTAAGAAGTCTGCAGAAAGATGATTTGCAATTCCCTGAATCAAAAGGCTAGGGGCTCAATTTGTTGTCTGAATAAGGTCCAGACTCTTCTATATAATTTCTGTAGTGTGAAATTCGAGTAACACAAATAATCACTTGGTACCAGGGATTGAACCCAGGGGCACTCAATCACTGAGTCCCATCCCCAGCCCTTATTTTGTATTTTATTTAGAGACAGGGTCTCACTGAGTTGCTTAGTGCCTCACTGTTGCTGAGGCTGGCTTTGAACTGGCGATCCTCCTGCCTCAGCCTCCTGAGCTGCTGGATTACAGGAGTGTGCCACTGGGCACTCCTTTTATGAGTCTTAAAGTGACCCAGGTAAGTGCCTTAGGCAAATGGGGGTATGCCAGGAGCCTCGACCCAGACTCTAGCCAGAGACCAATCCAAACACAAAACAGCAAAGGTATTGGTGTGAGCGACAGTTCTGGAGCAGGCTTCCTCCCAGTTTTCGATACAAACGTCAAACAAGAGCTACGTTTTCTGTGCTGTGGCGCCTACATCACTAAAATCAATTTAGACTTCTATTTCTAGCAGATGTCAAACTTGGATTATTTTTCCCTTTTTTTTAAAGATAAAAATCTGAAGCTATTTAAAAATCTGTATCCAACCGGGCTTGCGCTGTTCTCAGTATGCAGTCTAACAACCGTGGCTCGGAGGCTTCCAGAATAGACCCCAGGAGCCTGGGATGTCCTTCTCTGGGAGGGAACAGGAGCTGTCCCTCTGCCCCTAGGACTTTAGAGGGAAGATTTGTGAGTCTTACCTGTGTAGAGGAACTCTATAGGGGCCTTTAGAAATTGGACTATCTGCTGGACACAGTGGTGCCCACCTATAATCCCAGTGACTAGGGAGGCTGAGGAAGAAGGATCGCCAAGTTCGAGGCCAGTCAGCAAAACTTAGGGAGACTCTGTCTCAAAACAAAAATAAAAAGGGTCTGGGGATATCAGTGATAGAGTTCAACCCCCAGTACTGACAAAAAAAAAAAAGTAAAATAAAAAGAAAAGAATCTGGGCACCTCTCTTCTACTAACCCTCGTGTTGTTTGTCCCCAAGCTATTTGGCCTGCAATCTGAGGAGACAACTGCCTTTTCATGTTTTATACATTTTATTCATACATTTCTCCAACTTTGAAATGACAAAAGCCCAATTCTATGGTTTCCCATTACACAGCATCCTACAGGTATGGATATTCTACAAAGAATACTATGGAGTTTCTCTTCTTCCCCTGTCACACGAGATAACTGATTAGGGTTTAGACTTGTACTGTGCTGGTGGCACACCAGCGTTGTGGTTGCTCCGGCGACAGGGCAAAGGGATCAGGACGGGAGGGCGTGTGCTAAGGCATGTAAATAGATACACACAGAGAGAAAGAAAAGCAGGACATTTTACAAAGCATCCGAACCTTTCCAATCCCTTCAGTTCCTCTGGCGACCCTAAGGCTTTGCTGAACCCCCAAATACTTACAATTGGATATGGTGAAATATACAACAACCATTAACATCTCTCTCTTTTTATCACTGAGACAATACTTCAAAACCTTTTATAAAAAGGCAATAATACATACAGAAAAAAGAACACGTTGGCAAAACTATGCAAAACCACCCCAGAACTGAGTTTGAGTGGTGACACTCCTCCAGGCAGCCACCCGCCTGCCTGCACGGACATTCTGGGAGACAGCTGAGGCTGGAAATCAGTGCCCCCCAATTCTTGGTCTCTTTCAAACAAGAAAAAATGAAAAACGAAAGTGGAGCCAGTGTCTGTAAAGGAACACGTTTCTCCTCCCAAGCACAATTCCTTCTACAGAGATTGTACTTCCCCAGGGTCCAGAGAGGCTCACCCCAGGCCTCCGTGGGTAAGGACATTGGCATGTTCCTTGGTCACACCAGAGACAATGGAGCTAAGTCCAAGCACTAACAAAGTTCTGAGTTTCTGTGCGAACATGGATATGGAGTTGTGCTTGGGACCAGAACAGAGGTCTCCCATGTGGTTGTAAATCTCTCTCTCCATTTTCTTTTGCTTGGTCCATTTGCACAGGTTCAAGGGAGTTGATGGAGGGTCAGGTGAGAGGTGGTGGGAACTCAGGATTTTCTGCCCCCCACCCCCGCCACTGACTCCCCACAAAGAGCTAAGACTTGGGAGTGCCTGCTGCAGAGATGGTGCTGCCCTCTTGCCATGGTGGTATCTGTGGGCCAGGAAAAGATCAGATGGGAAAATGGCAGAGAAAAGACTCTCCTCCCTTTCCTCCACTTCCTGCAAGGACGTGACAGCTACACTTCATGCACTAAGTTCTGCCATCTGAGATGTTCCATGTGTCCAAATTGATGGCAAACTGACCAGTGCACAGGCCAAGCCAGTCCTGCATTAAGCCTCATGCATATAGTCCTGTAACTGGAGATGGACAGAGATGCAGACGTGGTTTCTAAAGGGATCAGAAAAGGGAAATCTCTACCCAATGAAATGAGTCACAACTAAAGTGTGTAGCCCTTCCATAAGCCACAGCAAGAAGCAAGGTATCTTTGGAAGAGAAGAATGAATCTCAAGTGCAGGACAAGAGAGACACGTTTAGGGGCCTTAAATCTGTTACAGGCCACAGTGAGCCTCAGCACAGTAAGCCCTTGCAAAGACAATGGACTTGGGAGACTGTGCTCAGTTCTGAAACAACACCACCACCACCACCAACACCAAATACGCACAGGTTTGATATTAAGAATTGACCCATCAAGCAGTTTTCCTGGTTGCTTGAGCAGCAAGCTAAGCTTACCTTCACTCCAAGTTAAGACACTGACCTGAAATGATAATAAAGGACATGTCATCAGTGGGAGACCAAAGAGTGCTTTGGGCTGCCTTGTCCTTGAGGGGCGGTTTCCACTCTGGGCATCTCCAATGGTCCAGTTTCCTGGAGGGTGACTCCATCGACTAAACTTTTGCAAGGAATGAATTGGAAGCCTGAATGAAGTAAGAACTAGGAGTGATTTCAAAAGAAACCAAAGAACGCTGAGATCAAAGGCTTTAAAAAGGTAATAGCTTCAGAGGAAGGCTGTGGGAGAAGGAATTGGACACAGGGAAGGGGACAGATTCTGCATTTCTTCGTGCAGTGGGGAACTCTGCACATCTCTAAATATTCTGCCACCAATAAGATGGGGTGATGGCTTCTGAATGCAAATAGCAAGAAGTAGGTCAACCATTTCTTTTCCTCTCTGAGCAGATATTTCAAATCATCTCACCTGACAGGAGATACATTTAATTGCATTTTTAACAAGCGACAATGTTATCTTGACACTGGGAAACTTCCAGATGAATTCAATTGAGTGCCACTTTCCTTTTCAGTGTTAAAATGCAATATGCTACATGTGCAAAGGAATGGCTGCCTTATGATTAGGAAAATCAGGACATTTCATTTTCTTAACAAAGAACTCGACACGTCAAAACGCTCCCTTTCCTGCTGTGGGGAGTGGGGTCGCGTAGGGGAGAGGACCCTTGGAATAGGGCTCTCCAATGCTTCAACTGACCACTGATAAGATTTAGCAATCAAATCACTTGCTCTGGTTTTCAAAAAGGAAACAAAAAATGCTTCTGCTGATGGGATGGAGGCAGGAAAGAAGTTTTAGGAATTTTCTGATTGTTTAGTGGACGATTGTGACGGAGCTGCAATGTGCAGAAATGACTCCGAATTCAGAAATTGAAGGATGTTCTGCTAGGTCATAAAGACACTGCTCCAGAAGATGGCTGCTTGTGCCCTTCTTGGAGCATGCAGAAAGCGACCAACAAGAGGACAAGTCGTATGTCGCCTGTCCACGGGGGGATCACTGATGTTTGAGTTGCCCTCCCTTTTCTCCTCCTTGGCTTAATCCACATTTAGTCACATGGTGGATGGCTTCCAAAGGGCACTGTCAACATCTCTGGAGATTTGGTCTCTAAGGGCAAGTGGGGGTGTGAGAGAGTTTCCACCAGAGGGAAGAAAGTTGGTTTCCCATGTGTTAGTTGTATTCTTCTTTGTGCTTCATTGGAAAAGAGGTAGAGCGGGCACCTTGACACTGAGAAGAGCCCGGATTGTAGTCAGTACCACTGCAGGAATGGCTGTCTGGCCTTGGCATCAGAGTGAAATCTGTCTTAACACAGGCCTATACGACTCTTTGAGCATTTCTCTCTCCATCTAGGGGAGCCCACTGTTGAGCTTGTCTCTGGTTTACCTGTTTGGTCACCCCCACCATAGGGCCCAAACACAAGGAGTTAACTCAACAACCTGTTAGTAAGTTGTCGACTCATCCAGTCACTGACAAAGAATGATCATCAGAAAAAAAAACAAAAAACAAAAACAAAAAAACCAACAACCAATTGGCATCTTTAATAACAGTAGGTGAGGGGTGGGGTGTTGACCATGTAAGAGGAGTCTATAAAAACTGCCTTTTCTGTTCGGTCCCTTAAGAGGAGCTGTTCAGCCCAGAATACACCCCGCACATCCTGCCAAGGCACAATGTGACAGAGGCCATCTAACCTACAAGAAGCAAAAATGATGGCGTGTTTTCAAGAATCCCAGGTTAACAGAAGCGCTTCACACCCTCACGTGCTAAGGAAAAACATTCTACTGACCTCCGGCAGGGTCTGGGAACCCCCAGCCCGAATGTCCTGTATTAGAAGAATGTGACCTCGTGGTGGGGTGATGAGATGGTGAATGTCTCTAAAAGCAACAAGGACAGATGATTCCCCTGTGCCAAGGGATATAGCAAGAGGAAGGAGAGACCACAGGTAGCCCTGCGAGTCAGACGCGGTCCACGCTGTGCCCTGGCAGGTGGCTGTTTCTGTCCTGCCGACTGATACTCACTCCTGGGCCTTCGATGGGTCCATGAGCATCTAATGAATTCTAAAATTGAAAAGATCATCGGCTTGGAGGCCTAAACAACTCTATAATGAAATGAAGGACCCAAAGGCATTTAATTATTGAACACATAAAAGGAAGTATATTTAAAAAAAATTGGTCAGACTGTCCTGTTAGTTATTATTTTAAAGGAATTTACAGGGCTGTTATAGATTATTCTTTTGGAATAATTCAGTTTATAGCAAACGCCTAAACTGGTTTCTTCATTGCACAGTATTTTCTCTTAAAATGGGTGCTTTTAAAACAATTACATACAGATTAAAAATCCTCATTTCTTTGCTTAATTAAAACGTTAATACTCTTAGACAACACAGATCCGAAATGGTGAAACCAGCAAATTCCCCCTCCCACCTTACAACAAATTAAATTGAGACAAAATTACAAACACATTTCACTACATGATTATTATTAATAAAAATCAGTTTCTTTTCTTTTTTTTTTATAAAGTTGCCCGAAATGCAAGGGATGTGCATAGGTTTACAACTTAGTCATAATAGCATTTTATTCTTATTCTCCTGGGTGTGCCCCGTGAACGGAAAGTACTTGGCTGTAGATTACAGATTGATTTGTCCAACACAGACACACCAACAGCATAAACGCTCGCGACTGTCCACATGCATTAAGAGTCAAGACCCAACTTCAAATCTCTAAAAGGTTTACAGGGTGCTTCAAAGAGACAGTATCACATTATCTGGATGTTACATAAAGGACTTAAAAAAAATACTATTCTAAAAAAAAAAAAGAGAGAGAGAAAAAAAGGCCTTTAAAAATTTATGACTGTTTTGTAATCACTAGACTAATTATTTCAAATAAATAAAGGAAAGAAAGATATTCCAATCCATAAAATCAGACTCTAAAAAGAATGTAGTGTTCCACCCCCAGTCAAGGTAACAGAATCATTGTTTATTATTATTAAAATAGATTATAGAAAGCAGCATCTATTTTGTGCAGTTTTTAGGGGCCTTGGAAATAAAAAGCTATGATTTCCAAAAATATAACATTCCAAAGGATTGAATAATACATACATTTAAAGATACATTTTATTAAAGTTTAGGAGAACTGATTAAAAAAGATACTGTCTCTTTAAATTAGTGTGTAATTGTTTTTCTCCTCCTATCTATTCGGACATGACAATAATTATAAATGTAGGTCACACTACAACTAGGTAGTCTCTAGGGACCACGACCTGCTGACACAAGGCCCATGACAAAGAGGCTTTTCCATGTATGAGGTGGCTCCCAGTTATGCTCAGATATCTGGGGATGGGCCTAATAGACCCAGGAGACCGGGACCCACTGCGGGGCTGTGCACACGAGCTCAACGGCTTCCTCCAGATGTCTGATTGTCTCATCAATTTCATTGTTGATAATTGTGAGATCGAAGTAGTGCGCGTATGTTCTCTGGAGGATATCAGACTCCTTCTGCAGGCGCTGGAGAGATTCGTCCTAGAAGAGGAGCGTGGAGGAAGGGTGGGTGTGGGAGAGGGGGAAAGCAAACAGAAGACAGGAATCAGTGGGATTCTTTCTCTTTTCACCTGTTTTTGCTCATCCCAGTGTCAGAAGGCCGTCAAGGCCCAACCTTGATGGGCTGCATCTGGGCATGAGGCCAGGATGGGACCACGACACAGGAGGCCACCATCCCTGGGACAGCAGGAACTCCTGCTGGCATCCACAAGTGCTTGACATGCAACAGGGGGCTCCATGACAAACCAGACAAAATGCACACTCTACAGCAAACGCACTGGCCCCCAGGCCTTGCTGTGCCTGTCCCAGGTCGGTCAGGGCGAGGCCCCGCGAGGTGTGGGTTACCAGTGGCTTCTGTTCTTTCTTCCCTCCGCTAACCCATCCTCACATCTGGCACAAGGGCTCTTGATCCCCATCCCCTTGGTCCTTGAAGCTCCCTTGAGCCACGCTTTGGGGACCCACCTGCATTTGCACCAATAAGCCCTGTCTATGGATGACAAATGAAGTTGCATTTTTTCCTTTTCTACTAAAGGTTCAGCATGTTTAAAAAATTCAATTATGTATAATGGCCCTGACTTGACAGCATCAGATGCCAGAGGCAAAAGCTTTTTGGATGTTACAAATAATGGCTGGAATAAGGCCATTTTCCAAATAAAACAGCAACTGGCATCTGATGAATTCCCCAAGCTGGTCTGCATTGGAAATGACCCAATGCCACTGTTCGCATGTAGTTATATTTCTCACGAAAACAACTCTGGAGCAAAGCTACTGAACTCTAGGCAGGCTTGCTGTGGTAAAGGATGTCCCCTAAAGCAGAGCTTGCTACACATTTTGACAACCTTCACCAGGCTGAGCCATGGCAGGAAGGAATTTAGGGTCTCAAATTCGTCATGTGAAAATGGCCTTTTGCTGGCAGTTCTTTCAAGACAAGGATCTCTTAAGGGCCACCATTAAGAGATCCTCCATTATCTTTCATTATCTTCACAGCACAAGTATGTTATACTGAACTCTCCAAGGCCAAGTTCAATTGAAACTAGAGTACTTTATGAGTCAAATAACCACACCTACTCTCCCCTTGCACTGGATGAACACTGGGTAGGTGAACTATCTGCCTGAGTTAAAAAAAATATATTGAAAATGTATATTATTTGATATAAATATCTGCTTATTTCATTAATTTCCTTCTTCCCAATTAGGGCATAAACTTGTCTCCTGTGTCTGTCATTACTGTGCCCAGGCATGGAGCCTTGCACACAGTTGTTGCTTAATAAACACTGTCAAAGGAACAAGCACCTGGCTGATAACTGATCATCACAGGGTTTTACAAGTAATAAGTCTATCATCAAGGGACTAAGCAATTCTACTAAGAAAGGGGTGGGGGCTGGGGTAACAGAGGCGGGTCTCCAGAGAAAATAAAAGATGCTGGGATCCTTGAGGGACCCAGGAGCTATAGGTGCCCAGTAGTGGCTTAGGACCCCCTCTCCTCTTCTCTGAGGCCCCTCTATTATTTATAATAAGCTCAATGCAAAAATGCCATTTTAGGAAACCTGCATTTACCCAAAGACAGAAGCACTTCCCACCAGTATAACAAGGAACAATTCCTATGAAGTCACTGTCTGTGTTTGTTAGGAGATTCTGTTTGACTATACAATCCTGGGCTTCAAAAACTGCTAGCAGGGTTTATGTTTTGTTCAGAAAGTGGGGCTGAGGAAACCATTCAAAAAAATGTGTGGCTGAGAGTGTCAGCTTTTTGATGTAGTTCTCTTTGTAGGAAAATAAAACTCCCTCTTACAGATCTTTTAAGATGAAGCTCTATTTTCCAGTTTCTTCCTTGACGACAGCTTGTCTGCATGCTGGACTCACACGTGAGCAAGGTTCAACTCAGTGAAAACAAATGCCTTTATTCTAATAGCAGAAAGCAAGGATTCGTGGGACCAAAATGTCTACATTCTACATCTATTAAAAGGAACAAAGGCTGTACTTCATCACCTCCTAGCTGGTACTTACAGGCAATTTTCTGCACCATTTTGGCAGCTATGGAAAATTAGTAACAGGGCAGGAAAACAGGCAAAACAAAAAACAAAAACAAAGCAAAGATGATAATTCAAGAAAAACACATGGTAACCAAAGGATAAACGCTAACCACAATGTGGATTTCAAACATGCTTGTGTATGAATCAGATGGGAAAGTTGAATTTTACAAAGGAACGTGCCTTTTGCAAATGAAATGACAAAAAAAAAAAAGATGACTGAAAATACGAGTAATAAAGCCCATCTAAAGATTTAACCTTCGTTAAAGGTATACAAAGTATGAATTGCTAAGCCTTGATTTAACTGCACTGTATGCTTGGGTGATTTAGGCCAGTGTTTATTGAACACTGTTGAGAGTCCTCTGGTGGTTTCTAGAATTTGCAAAAGTTCTTCAGGATAACTTTGTATAGCAGTATTCCCTTAACTAAAAAGAGATGGCAGGGAGGCACTGTCCCACCTTCCAGACATGTGAGACTATCTGGTCAGCAATAGAAAGCCTTCTTAGTGGGCTTGGGAAGAAGGATGGCGTAGCCAACTCTTGCACATACCTTCTTTGTGGCAGGTGCTGACTTGAGTTGGCTTGAGAGCTGACAAGAGCTCTTTTCTTTTTGTTTCCAGTGCTGGGGATGAAACCCAGGGCCTCTTGCATGGATAGATTAATGCTCTCCCACTAAACCATATCACCAGCTGAACAAAGCTCTTTTCTAAGTTTGATGGTCTCTAGGGGCCTCTGTAGCCCAGCTAAGGTCATGGATTCCTTACAGCTTTCTTTAGGTAGAGCAATGTTTGATCCAGAGCTGGCCCTGGGGGCTCCTGCTGTCTTGGCATCACCGAATCTAGACAGAGCGACTGGCAGTCCTAGGGATGCCTGGGAAAACTCCATCTTGGGGGACTGATAGAGTTTATCCTTGGACTTTAGAAGTGACTTATTGAGAAAGCCATAGACCGACCATTCTTTTCCACATCCTGTTTCACCAGAGCAGACGTTTGCTGCCAATGAAGCAATGTGCTTTCCAACTGTGCTGTAGACTAAGGCTGGAATTTGTTTCAAGATTCTGATCTCTGAAGTTCACACGGTTGGTGTTACCTCATTCCAAATACTGACTGCCCAGCATCAACAATAAATCAGAGTTTCATTCAGTTGTCTTCATGGAATAGGGCTTTGGTTTTGAGTGCATCACACATGTGGATCCTTACAATGGGGGCATGCTTACTTGGGGGAAAAGTAGATTCATTCTTACCTCATTTAAACCTGGAGTGATAGTTGGAGCGGCAATAAAGACAACAAAAGGAGCAAACTCTGCAGTTCTCAGGACCTTCAGTGCCTGGGTAAAAACAAAACAACAACAACAAAAAAAAGAGACTTAAATGAAGATATAAGTAATGCCACTTTCAAATAAGTCTATGAAGAATTTACGTAACTGAAAAATTCAAGCCCTTGGTTCAATTTTTTGGCAAGGTATTAAATGTACCAATTTCATAAATCAGGTTATTTTACTTCATATCTTCTAAAGGATGAATGATAGTTGTCAGGAAACAAAAGCTGACAAACTGGACATTTTTCTTATGAATCTCATGAGTCAATTGGCTTTATTTCTCTTCGCAAAAGTTAACATGAACTATGTTGGTTAATGTTCATTAAAACCTGGTTATTAGCTGGAGCTTGAATTTTAATTGATGGTCTATGCATTTGGGGTAATGGGCCTTCAGATTGGCTTCACACCAATCCAGAGCCCACTTTGTTACATATGAAACTGCAAATTGCTAACCACTGATAGCAAATCCTGGCCACTATGATTGTGTGGGCTACATTCATGCTTACATAAGGCCTTCTGTGTTGCCCTGGTGAAAGGATCCAATAGGGTTGGTGAGACAGGGGGACCCTGCCCAGGGCTGGAGTCATAAAGCCCCAGGCTTTTTTTGTTTTAGCCCTGCCACTAAAGACAATGTGTGGCTGTGGGCAATGTGTTGACCCATGAGAAAATGTGGCACTCAAGGGAGAAGGAACTCTGGGATCCCCTTCAGTTCCCTTCCAAAGCATCCCAAACCTCTAATTGCAAAAGTTGCTAGTTTGCATAGATGAATTGCAAAGTTGCAATCGGATGCAATGGGAGTTGATTCTGCTGTGGGATCATTGCTTTAGCTCCTCCCCTGGGAGGATGCTTTTGGAGGTTTATAAAGGCTCCTCCAAGGACAAAACCTAGCGTACCCATCCAGGAACCCAATCCACAAGTTAACTCATATGCATCAGGGGTAAATATCTTGCTGTTCTTTATACGAGAATTTAACATATCAATTTTGTTAGCTACATATTTTTATTTTTAAAATTATTATTAAAATTTTTTTTTTTACGGTGCTGGAGATCGAACCCAGGGCCTCCCACATATCTTGCTTTTTTAAATGGTCTCTAAATATGTGTGCTTTCCCTTATTCCTGTCACTCCATCTTTTGCCTGGTTCACTGTCATCACAATAGACTGGTTCTCTGTTTCCAGTTTTGCTGTTCTTCAACTATATTCCACTCTGCTACTAAAATGGTTTTTCTGAAATGCCAATCCCATGTTCCATGCTTGAAACCCTTCAACAGCTCCCTTTTGGCCATAGGATTAAAAAAAAGTATACTCCTTAGCATGAAGATCAAATCCTTCCCTCACCAACTGGCCCATGCTTTAACCTCTTTGGCTTTCCTCTGCCCTCTCCTCAGAGGACTGGCCTTACTAAGCTGCTTTGAGTTCTAGAAAGGGTCAGACTCTGGCTTCCTGGTGTCTTTACTTACAACTCCCTCTGATTGGACCTCCCATCCACCTTCCCCCTTCTTCACTCTCCTCTTTGCTTGACTGAGTAATCCCTTCAGAACTCAGTCCCAATGTTCTTTTCTCTGGAAAGTTCTTTGTGAGCCCTGAGCCACTCCTCTGTGCTCTTAAAGCACCCACCACACTGGAAATATTAAGCTCTTGGGGACCTTGAGGGCAGGGACATGTCCTGTTCAACTGTTTCTTTCATGTCCAATATGACACCTGTCATAAACTGCCTTTAGGATCCAATTAAAAGGTCAAAACAAAAAATCTAATTTGTACTTGATTTCTCTTATCTTTTGAGGCAGGTTTGACCAGAGAGCATGCTGCTACATGTATGTAAGAGACAAATTTGATATGAAAAATTCTGACTTTCTCTTTGACTGTTAGCCCCACTTACACTGAGATACTACTTCTGAATTTTGGTCACATAATATCTACTGGTGGGTTGAGGGAAACTGGCATACTATCTTATTTGTCCATTAGAGTTCTTTAATTTTTAAAGTCACAGGTTCAGAGTTCCCTCTAAGAAAGCTCTTCAAAACTTGCACATGTTCATTTTTAAAGAGGCAACTGGCAATTTCTTTGCTGATCTTTTGTGACCAAAGACTTTAGCAAGGAACAGTCATCATGAAAAAGCCATATGGAGCCAAACAGGAACCTTCTCTTAGAAATGTCCTTTTTGTCAATGTTATCTTGGGCCTCTCCTCCTTCTTTCCTGTGCTCCTGCACCAGATGAATACAGGCTCAACTGGAGCAGAAGGTTTTCTTATCACACACACATACTCGCACATAGCCGGCCTTTGAGCAACTGAGATGGGGGAAACATCCTATTTGCTATATCCATAAACACATGAGGGTCATTCTGCATTTACTGTATGAAACCATCAATGAAGGCTATGTTCATCATATTGCCACGAGCCTTTTGTGTCAAGAATGTTTGGAATCTTGATTCCAAAAATAAATAAGTAAATAAATGTGTGTGTGTGTGTGTGTGTGTGTGTGTGTGTGTGTTTTGCCCTTGTTGCCAGGAAGTTCAGAGCCAAATTGAATGTTTATCACAGTAATTACAGTAGCTCCTGTGGTTCGCATATTTTCTTTCTCCTCTTTTTCATGGCTTTGATTTTCTATTTCTGTCCTATATTATTATATTTTCCAAAATTCTGAGGTGGCTCAAGTCCTGACTGTGATGTTCTTGTCTAGTGCGTATGATATCTTTAGCAGAGTCACCACACATTTCTTTGTTCCTGAAGGTCTCTGTCCCCATTCCATGCTCTATTTCTGTGTTTCAAGTGGGCAACATTTTGGATGCAGTTTCAGTCTGGATGAGGTTCAGAGTCACTTGAGGAACAGGAAATGGAACTCCTCACAAGGATTCTCCTCCCTCAGGCAGTTAATAGCTCACTTAAAGACAAACTCTAAACCTTCTTCAGTTCTGACTCATGAGGAGACACAGTCTCTCTCTGAATCCCAGAGGAATTCAGAGAGAGAGAGAGAGAGAGAGAGAGAGAGGAGAGAGAGATAGGGAACATGCGCACACATGCTCTAGAAAGATCACTGAGAACACTGTATTCAAATAGTCAAAGTAATGTTAATTTAACAGTTACTTCTTTAGTTCTCTTTTATGGAGTAAACTGATTTTATGTTCATCTATGTGTGGCTAAGAATTAATTTCAGGTTACCATCTTCAAGGACTACAAACTCATTTGACCCAAGTATGATGCAGATAGCTATAAGACTAATTGGGTTTGGAAAGTTAAAAAGTATACAAGGGCAAGCGGACAAATAATTTTCTACAAAAATCTAAGGAAGAGCACAGTGACCTCAAAGAGGAAAGCAATTGAACAAAATGGCCTCTGGTTCAGAACCTGGTTGCCAGGATGTTCAGAGCCAAATCTGTTTATCACAGTAACTGTAGTAGCTCCTGTGGTTCTCATATTGGCTTCCTCTTCTTTTTCATGGCTTTGATTTTCTATTTCTGTATTGTGATTTTCTATTTCCTATATTTTTGTATTTTCTAATTATTATAATTATGTATTTTCCAATTATTGTATTTATTATATTTAAATCATTCTATTTTCTAATTACTGTATTTTAAAAATTTCTATCCTATCTTATTATATTTCCAAAATTTTAAGATGCCTCCAAACCCAGCTATGATGTTTTGTGTATAAGGTTTTATATCTTTGGCAAAGTCACCTTGCATTTCCTTGTTCCTGAAAGTCCCTGTCCCCATACCTTATTTATTTATTTATGTATGCCATACTAGGGACTGAACCCTGGGCCTTGTGCATGCGAGGCAAGTACTTTTCCACTGAGCTACATCCTCAGCTCCTAGAAGCTTCCTCTTGACAACAACCTTTCCCTCTGTAGGCAAAAGCAAAAGCCCAAATATTCTGCTACTGTTAACTTTTAACACTCTAAACAGATAAATCAGAGTAAGGTTAAATTCTAAAACCATTGCATTAAGCTTTCATCACACACTGGAGAGATTACAGTTTCAGCTTTAGGGACAGAGATTACTGAGTCCTAACTTTATTTTCATAAGAAAGAAATCTTATATTTTTTTCCTCAGGTTTTATTGCCTTCTACATTTTTCTAAATGTTTTAAAAACATTTGGTGGACCATCCTGAAGATTCCTAGGGAGGAGGTTGGGATTTATTACACACAAAACAAAACCAATAACAGTTTAAGTTCAAACCACTTTCAATCTGCTATAAACCTTGGTTCGAGTTACTTTTACATTAAGCCTCGATTTCTTCCATTATGGAAATAGACACTGATTTCTATTTCATAGGATCCCAAAGATTAGGTAAGGAGTAATAACGCTTAATGAAATATAAAACATTATAACAATACAATCTATTATTTTAAAAGAAGCCAGGTTACTATTTTTTGTAGCTCAATGTCTTTACCATTGTTGTCTAGGTTTAGAGTTGGACCACAACATTTAATCATATAGTACTATTACACATGTGTTCCATTTGGCTTTAGTTGTCTAAAATAAATTAAGATGGCCTCAAAGCATCAGACCTGCACTCAATGAGCTGAACACTAGCATTAGGTGGTCTTTCTATGGCCCATATGTGGTAGAAATGGCCTCAGATGTTGTGGATGTGAGATTTTTTAAAAAAATGCCACAATTTACTTTCCCTGTTAAGGACAGTTTCTGATGTACATGGAGGAAGGAATTTCATCCTCACCAGTTTGTCTTCTTAATTATATTTTTAGCTTCTGGCACAGTGCTTGGCATATATGGGCTTGATAGAAGTTTGTTAAATCAAACTGTGAGATACAGTAGTGGGGTTAATCTAACAAGCTAGGGCAGGAAAGGGGCTAGGAGAAAAATGTCATAAGGTCCCAAGGGGAAAGTCTCCCTGAAGCATCAAGGCTCTGTCTGAACGTAAGTTATTCATGGCCAGTGGCATCCCCAAAGCAGGATAAGGACCCTTCCCAGACCTAAGGAGAGTAGGCTGAGGGCAGAGAAGCCTGAGGGTGAAGTCCCGTTGGTGCAGACTCTGCGGGCACCCCATGGTGTACACATGGTCTCAAGTGTGAGACCTGGGCTGAGAATGAGTCTAGACTGGGCAGAAGAGCCTGGGACCAGAGTGGTCAACCAGCCCAATGAGAGGAGCAGGCCCTGGGGCTGCTGGCCCAAAGAGGCTCAGGCAGAGACCAGGATGCCCATGGCCTGCCTTCAGGGGTCAGTGAACTTGAGAGATCACAGTTCTGATAGGTGGGGACACAGGAAGTAGGAGAGGAGAGTGCAGGTGAGCCCATCCAGCAGTCAGGGAGCAGGGGGACAGTGTGCCCAGCTGGGGCAAGGAGGTGCTCCAGGGCCAAGTGCAATGGGTTAAAGGAACTGCTGTGGATGTCCTGATGAGGCCGAGAGAAGGGTCTCCCACTCAGCAGTGCAGAGCAATGCATGGCTGTGCAAGGACCAAGGGACAGGGAGAGCTGGACACTATGGGTGGAGCAGCAGCGGCAGCAGCGGTGGTGGCGGCGATGACAGCAGCGGCAGCAGCAGCAGGTAAGGCAGAAAGCCCTTGAAAGTGGACTTAGGTAATGCAGAGGGGGTCTGAGGAGCCCTGCAGCCAGCATACTGCTAGAGACATTACTACCAGCAGAAAACGACGTTCAGGTGAAGACCAGTGTGGAACCCAAGGAGAGGATGTCGAAGACCAGGACCAGGATTGAGACCTTGCCTCTAGCCACCCCTGGCCAGAAGATTTTTCCAATCCCTAGTAAGGAGGGATTAGTAGTTAAACAAAAATCAATCTGCGTTACACATCATCATATTTAGTTCTATATAGGTCCAAGTTAATTGTCAAGTCAACTACAGTGTCTGCTCTATTGTTGCTCTCCTCCCTAGCCCCCGAACCAGATCCTTTCATGGTTTCCAAAGTTCCAAGTTCAAGAACCCCATCAAGTGCTATCAAATGGAAACAGATGAACCCAATGGCCGCAAGTTAGGATCTTGGTGTCCAGAAACTGAGCAGTCAGGTCCCAGGTCACACAGATCCTGCTGTGCAGTTTCTGTCCTCACTTTGGGGATGGCTGGGGGACCAAGTCTTATGCTGTGACCCTTGAACAGGGATTTGCCCTGCCTAGGATGGCCATCTAAGCCTCCTGATGAAATACAGGGGAAGCCTACTACAGGGGAGCTGACCCTTCATTTTGGTGGTTAGTGGACTGATTCTAGGTGATAAGGGATTTAGGGTACAGAATGGCCTTTAAAATGGCAGACCTGGGAGTCACAAGGGAACCCACAGCCTCTCCTTGTAACCTCCCCTAATATCTATAATTCCCAAATCCTTCCTTCTGTGCTTCAAGTCCATTTCTGCTTGGATTATACTCAGACATGAAAAAATAGCTTGTCAGCATTTTTTTAGGTGCTGAAGATGGAACCCAGGGCCTCACACATGCTAAACCCACACTCTCACCCTACCACTAAGCGACACCCTCATCCCCTTTGATGTCAAGCCTTTTTTTTCAAGTTTCCTAATTCCAATTGCTTTTTGCAAAAAACATATTTACAAATCATTTAATCATCTCCACATCCAACTTCCCTTTGAGTCCTCTCCAAGTTGTCTATATCTGACCTAGTTTTAGCTCAGGGTCAGGCAGCATCCTCTTGTGAGGAGACTGGAGAGGCAGAGAACCACCCCTGCTCTCCATCCCTGCTCCATCTTGACATCTGGCATCTGGGGTCACTCATGCTTGTTTTCAGAAAGCTAGCACTGTGTTTCATAACCAGGCCCCAGGATCAGTTTCTTGCTAATGATTAACATAAGATGCTGGCGGGTGCTCTGATGGTTCAGCGTAGCTGTACCAAGGCTGTTGTGATAACAAAGTACCAGAGTTTCACCCTGAGGTCAAATGATAGTAGAATTTCTGTAGAAGTTCTGAGTATAACAAATCTCATTGGAGAATAATCTGCTTCCTAAATACATGCCCAGTGATCGGCCAGTCTGCATTCTAGACTGTTAACCCATAAAATCTTGATTATTGACACTTTCCTGAAGCTTATGAGATTATTATGCAACCTATGAATCTCAGATGGCATCTTTTGATTTCAGAATCTGAACTTATCAGCATGCAGGCAGGATGGAGGGGTTCAGGGTGGCTGGGCCTTACCTGAGGCTCCACATCCAGAATTGCAATCAGCCCCTGCTCGTGGATCTTACGAATGGTCTCCAGTTTTGTCCCATACATTGCGTCCTCGTGGCTGCCATACTCCAGGTATTCATTGTTTGAGATGTCTTGCATCATTTGGTCATGAGATACAAAGTAATAATTCTTTCCATTTTCTTCATCTTTCTTTGGAGGTCTGGTTGTATCTGCAAAGTCCCATGTCACGAGAGGTTTAAAGGCTGAGCTGATCAACTTATGTTCCTAATGGGCCCACCCAGACTACTACTACTCTTTTTAAAAGTTGTGGCTTCTTTAGGGTATGTCCCACATACCCTGTTCCCATCCCAGCAGCTAGAAGCAAACTCTAGAAACCATTTTTATATGTGTATAACTGTGCCATTTAGTTATTTGGTTTGGGGAATACTTCAGTATTTACAGATATATTTCACTCCTTCATGGACCACCACAGGAAAAAGATGAAATGATCCAAGATTAACTCACTCACTATATATATGTCTCAGTGTATTTGGGCCTTGAGCAGGAGGAAGAAAGAAGATTTAAAAAAGGAAATACCAAATATGGTTATTTAAATTTAAACAAATTATAAATAAAAATTTAGTTCCTCAGTTTTACAAGCCATGATTCCAAGGTTTAACTGGCACAGGAGGTTAATGGCTGCTGTGCTGGACAATACAGAGATTGAATACTATCATTATCATGGACAGTTAGTGAGGTGCAACCATAATTATCATATAAAGACCTAAACTAGGAGGTGGCAAACTGGTTCATGGGCCCAAAATGGTCTGCAGTCTTCAGGTTTTACTGGGACACCGCCATGCATGTTTGTTCACATTTTTGTCTATGGCTCTTTTTATACTGCCATGGCAGAGCTGAGTAGTTGTGACACAGACTGTGTGGCCTTCAAAGTCTCAAATGTTGACTACCTGGTCCTTTACAGAAAAGATTTGCCAAAGTCTGACCTAAGTGGGTATATACTAAAGTCTAAACCAATATGCAAAACTCGCTTCAGGAAATGTTTTTCTAGATGAGCAAGGAATATTGGTTTAAATCTTTTTCTCCCTTTCCTTCCTCTCTCCTACCTTCTTCCTTGCTTCCTACCCTCCTTAAGCAAAGACAAATTTATACTACTCTTTGCTGGCATACGGGATCAAGCCAGTGGGGAATTTCTTCTTTCCCTTAGAAGTGCCAAGTGTCATGAACTTCAAACTGTGGACAATCAGAGAGGAATCCTTTCTCTAGCCACATCAAAAGCTCAAGAAGTGGCATAATATATTGATGATATACTATCTTCAAATGATAACTATCTTCAGTTATCTCAGTAGTTAAATGTATGCTGTATACATTTTATTTATTTTTTCCAGATTTTTTTATTGGTGCATTATCATTACATGGGGTCAAATATTTCAGAGATTAGACATGATTGACATCAGAAAAAGGAAGGTTTAAAGTCCAGCTAGCTAATTGGCCATTTAATAACATGGAAGTTCAATTGTTATGTGCTCAAGAACAAACCAAATGTTAGCCAAGCTTGTTGTCCTCAAGATCTAGATATAAGAAGGATTAAAAGAACATTCCAAAGTATTTGATCAGAAAACCCCAGTAGCACCAATTGCAACGATACTTGATAAAAGTTTGTCTTGGGTAAATCAGAGCCATCTTGTGAAGCCTCCTGGCTCACTCAGGTGTACAGACTGAGTAAGTGGTGTGGACTGTGTGCTTCAGGATGGCATCCCAGGGCCCTGCAGGAAGGAGCCAGTCAGGACATTTTCTCCAGTTGCTCTTACAAATCATTCTCCTTAAGCTCTTCCCACCCTGAACAAAGCTGTAACTGCTAGAAAGCTTAAGGGATTAAAATTTGAAACTTTAGAATACAGATGATAATAAGATGGCTGCTACTTATCCACCATCTGCTAAGTGCTTCATACACATGTTCTCAAATCTTCTTTACAACCCTGGGATTATTTTATTTTATAGTTCACATAATGAAGAGGGCAAAGGTTAAGAATAAAATATAGGAAGGTAAGGGGGATATTAGAAATCTTAAAATTTTCAAATTCTTTATAGTAAACACTTGATAGCACATTGACTGGGTTTTTAAACTGATAAGAAGAAGACAGGTGTGTTGGTGCACACGTGTAATTTCATAGCTTCTTGGGAGGTTGAGGCAGGAGTGAATCACAAGTTCATGGCCAGCCTCAGCGATTTAGTGAGGCCCTAGGCATCTTAGATGCTGTCTCAAAATAAAAAATAAAAATGGCTGGAAATGCAGCTCAATGGCAAAGCACCCCTGGGTTCAATCCCCAGTGAGAGAGAGAGAGAGAGAGAGAGAGAGAGAGAGAGAGAGAGAGAGAGAGACTGTTGCATTACAGAAAAGTATATAACTATCAAAACTTATTTTTCTGAAGAATAACTAATCTAGGCAATGTTTCAGGCATACTGTTGGAAAAATTAAATTATAAACAGAATGAATGAACTTAATGTTATTTAAAATCCCACAAACATAACACACACACACACACAATACATATATTCATACTAAAAGAAGCCTAGGAGGGTATACAACAAAATATTTATAGAACTTATTATTGGGAGAGTGAAGTTGGGATTATTAACTCATTTTCTTCTTTGTCCTCTTTTGGGTTTTTACAAATTTCCTACAACGAACAGCTATTACTTATATAATCAGAAAAAATATGTAAATTACCATGTTGAAAATTAATAAGAAAAACATAATTAAAAGATATTGAGACGTTGCTTACGTGGAATAGGGTATGCAAACCGGTCCGGGTGCTTTGTGATGAGGGTGTTTTTTATGTGTCTTCTCCCAACACCATGTGCACCTATGGCATTTTTTGGAAAAAAAAAGTTAAAATTGACAACTGTTAATAATATTTACAAAATGTTTTTAAGGTGAGAATAAGTAAGACACTTTTATAGCCAAACTTACCTAATAAGACTAGTGTTTTCCTTTTGAATGCTGGCAGTTTTACTACTTCTTCATATGTGACAAGATCTAATTGATCAAACACTAAAATGCAAAGATTTAGAAGAAAGGTCAATTTATGGAATGAATATTTCAAGTACGTAAATTGTAATTTTACTGGCAAAAACCAAGTTACATTAAAAGTGTCTTAAAATATGAATTCAATTTATGGTATATGCTTTACATGTGATTGAAGTCGTATAGCATTTAGGAGAGAAATTTTCATTTTAAGCCCATGAAAATGCACTTTAGAAACAGGGGCAAAGATATGTTGAGTACATGCATAAAGTCCAATTCGAAAGGATACTGCATATTTTTTCCCATGCAGTATCTAGCAAATCATATGAATTCATTCAAAATCACATGCTGTTCATATTTTTACAATTTAAGAAATCAGCAATACTAAAAAGAAAAAGTCTATGGACAGTGACCAACATGAACAGAGCATGAATGCAGCTAAAGTCAACCAAGAGAGGGGCCAGCTAGGTCATTTCTAGAGAGAAATGGATGAGAAATGCACGGCCATTGGTCTTGAACTTCATGGTTCTTTCTTTCAAATTGATGAAGGTGGCATGCTAGATTCTTTCAAAGTCAAGTTCTGTAATTATCGTCACAAGCTTTTAAATGAGCATCTTGCAAGTTCTATTGTAACCCAGATATCCATTCAATGGAAAATCTCAGGTACGTAAGTAGGAGAACATGCTTTCCTGGCCCTGAAACCATGTCACTCATCACCTTGGGCAGTTGTGTGTGATAATCAGGATGGACAGGATGGCAAGAATAGTAAAGGAGAATCTGAACTCAGAAACTTTTGCAAAAGGAGAGTTCTCTGATTATTACAGACCAAGAAGAAATAGTTTAAAAATACTTCTCTGACACCTGCCTGTTAGCAACACAAGAAGGATTTTAAGCAACATGTGAAAGTGTTCTGAGCAAATGACCATTCCTGTTGAAGTTCAACATGGTCAGTTTCTCACACAAATTTGAAAATTCTCACAAGAAGGCTAAAATCATCTGTTTCCTGCAGTTTTTTTTTTACATGGTCATACCCAAATATTGTCAGGTACACACTAAATCTTCCTCTTAAAAGAATAATGAATTAGCCCTAGATTTTATTTATTATTATTATTATTTTTGGTATTGATTGAACCCAGGGGCGCTTTATCACTGAGCCACATCCCCAGCTCTTTTAATTTTGAAACAGGGTCTCGTTAAGTTGCTTAGGGCCTCTGTAAGTTGCCAAGGCTGGCTTTGAACTTATGATCCTCCTGCCTCTGTCTCCTGAGCCACTGGGGTTACAGGCATGTGCCGCCATGCCCAGTTTCTAGCCCTGGATTTTAGAGGGGTTGAAGTAAATTTAATAAAATCGATTTCACATTGCCATAAAGGAATCTGGGATGCTTAGGTTCATCATTAAGAAGGTATCTGCTCCCTGAAACAATGTGGCTAAATGATTGTATCAGCTCAGTAGCAAAGAATCTCACAATGCAAAATAAGATACCCTGGAATGCAATAGATCAGAAACAAACAAATGAACAAAAAGCATGATTCTCAAAATATATATAAAAAGAAATATGTTAATAAAGCATTAGTGCATATTAATGGGTACTTGTGCATTTGTTTTTGTTCCATAACTGGATTTCATAAAGGTTGACTGCAAATCTTTAGAGCATATTCCCTAGCAGCAGCTAAAAATGACGACGTTTTCTGTGTTTGAAATGGCACGCTCCCAAAATTAAAATGAACATGAGGCTCTCTGTGGCAGAGCTAGCTAGTAATGCTGCAGTGGTGATGGAGTGATGAGAGCTGCAAAATGAAAGCAGGAGTGCTTATGGCATCATTTTGTGTACCTATTGTCTGCTGAGTAATATTTCCATCAAGAAAAAGCATGCTTGTGGAACAAGTACATCAATTGGCTGATTTATTTATTTATTTAGGTACTGTGGATTGAGCCCAGGGACACTTAACCACTGAGCTACATCCCCAGCCCTTTTTATTTTTTATTTCGAGACAGGGTCTCACCTAAGTTGCTTAGGGCCTCGCTAAGTTGCTGAGGCTGGCCTTGAACTTGCAATCCTCCTGCCTCAGCCTCCCAAGCTGCTGGGACGACAGGCATGTGCCACCATGCCCAGCTGATATGTTTTAGTGTGTAAAAAGAATCAAGTCTCTCATGAAAGATCAAGATGATGATGACACAAGCATTCTGAATGGTAAACACATCCCCTCCCTCTACAGAGCCCTGACTCTGGTCCTACTGGATTAAGATGTCAGTTTTTAAAAACACGCAAGAATGTGTTAGATATCAACAATCAACACCACGAAATGAACAGATAGGTTAAACATCAGCATCTTAACCATGAACGAGTAACATGAAGGGGTTACTTTGCTCTAAATGAAATCATCACGTGGTCATAGGGTTGCAAAGCAATAAGAAAGGATATTGAAACATAAGAGATACAAGGAATATTAGGAGCGTACTTAAAGATTGAACTTTTAAAGGTTTTAAGTTGCTTGTTGATTGAAAAAAAAAATGAAACCACCAAAAACACAGAGGCATAGTCATTCAACAGGTTACTTACATGCACAGAGGCCATTGGGAGTGAGACAGCATGAAAAATGTACAGGGGTCATTGAAATATGGCTTTTCATATATTAGTAAAATAAAAGTATAATATGCACAAAATAAACTTTATCATGCAATATTCTAAACACAAGGCAAATCAGTCACATTAAGAAACAAACTCATTTTAATAAAAATTTAATCATATCCTTATATAAAAGCCAGTGGATTTCACATACTAGCATCTGGGATTGAAATTTTACATGGGAATTTACAAGACACTCTTTTTAGAGAGTGTAGGTGTGGAAGTCTTTTGTTTTTCATTTTGCACCTTCCTGTACTGTTTGCAATTTCTAATCGTGTGTGCCTATTACTATTATTATTAATTTTTGCCAGCTCTAGGGATAGAACCCTAGCACATGCTAGGCAAGTGCTCTACCACTGAGCTGCAGTGGTAATGGAGTGATGAGAGCTGCAAAATGAAATCAGGAGTGCTCATGGCATCATTTTTTATACCTATTGTCTGCTGAGTAATATTTCCATCATCATCATTATTATTATTTTTAATACTTTTAGTATTAAAAATAATGCACTAGGGTGGCAAGGCCAGAGGCCACTATTTTGTCTTTAGAGTTCTATGTACTCAAGAAAACAAAAAGCATAAAAGTGAAGTACTTTTACTTTTAAAAGTAAACAGTAGTAATTTATAGCACTAAGCATAATTTAAACATGCTTATGAATGGTATTGTAGAGATGCTCTCAGTTAATATGTATGTATATAATAGCATATTTTAGGATATTCAAATATCACTGGCTCGGGGATCTGTCACTTAAAAATGAATGAATGAGGGCTTTCTTCCTTCCTTCCTTTGTACTAGTGATTGAACCCAGGGACACTCTACCATTAAGCTATATCCTCGGCCCTTTTTAGTGCTTATTTTGCAACAGGGTCTCCCTAATTTGCTGAGGCTGGCCTTGAAGTTGTGATCTTTTTGCCTTAGCCTCCAGAGTTGCTGGGATTACAGGTGCAAGCTACTGTACTTGACGTGAAGACTTTGTAATTTTAAAAAGAGTTCACATTAGTAACTTGATCCAAAATTTACTTCTGGAAGTTTTAGGGGTGGGAATCTCAATGCCTCAAGAGTGCAATTCTAGCAGCACGACAATGCTTTTTGCACCGAATGTATGTGGCTAAAAATCTTTACGTGTTGCAGAAAATGTATTTGCTATAAACACTACACATACCATAATCAAATTTTTTCCCAAGGATTCAGAAATACTTTCTGGCATAGTTTGCTTATATTTCTCTGATTTCCTGGTAGGTTACTCAACATTCCAGACACTTCTTTTAAGTTTCTGGTAATTACTTTCCAGTTGAATCTTTTCCATAAAAAAAAGCTGTTAGCATTGAATCCTTGTCTCAGTTTGAAAAGCTGCAGATATCTTCAAAGACTATACAAATCTCCAGTTAAAAAAGGGCATTGCATACTGGTCGCATCAGGCCATGGAGTGTACACTCGAATGCCTGCAGTGGCCAGGAAACTAATGTGGTTAAATGAAGTGGGCCAGACACAAAAACAGGGGATTGTGGGGTTGGTGGGCGCTGGAGAGGAAGTGTCCATCCAAAAGGGCCATTGACGGCCCAGAGTCCTTAAGAAAGGAAGTAGCTCACTGTTCTGCATTCCAAGGGAAGTCTAAATCCAGAGTTTTATATTGAATAATCTGACTTTCAAATGTGATAACTTATAAAATTGTTTTAAACACTGTGTGTGTGAGAGACAAAACTTATTTATGGGTTCAAATTGACTAACAAATAGGCTGCCACATTATGATGTGAGATGTAGGCCATACAGATGAGCAGAATTTGGCTTTAACTAAATAGTAGAATTTCCTAGTGACAGAAATGGAAATAATTCTGATATTATTGTTTCCATAAGTTTTATCTACTGACAGTCTGAATCCTTTATTTTTACCACAAATATAAACAATTTCAAAATTTGATGATAAGGTTTGGCTCTTGCTGTCGATATATGATCAATTCTCAAACATGCGGATTATGAAACAAAACATACTGCTCTTATTTGCTAAGTACTACAGGAAGAACAAAGGGCATATTGTGTTTCATTCAATTTCTGAAAAAGCCAGAAAAATCCTCTGCAAATATAGTTTGATGTGTGCCCATGAGCCCATCTGGCTCGTTTTCAGTATGAAAGATCATGATATTTCCAATTTTTTGATGTTTCTATGTATCTGCCTTACTAATGGAGGTCAATAGTATTTGCTTCTCACTCTTTTAGGGCAATTCTGTATGTTAGGATGAAATTTCATTATGGCTAAAAGCAGAAGAGCTGATAAGATGCCCAAATTCCCTTCCTGAAAATCTGATCTCTTGTAGAGTAATAGCAATCCCTCAGGAAATGGAAGAGTTGGTTGGTGAAGCAGAAGAAATCTAAAGAACTGGTAACAGAAAGAAACGCTAGGCTTTGTCAGGCAGAAAAATCCAGAAAGTGCAGGAAAATAGCTGACCATTTCTCCTGACCAGAGAAACTGAAAGGAGAGCTTGACAGATTATTTTGCAGGTGAGAGAACCCTAACAATGATATTCTGACTAGAGAATCACAGATAAACCTAAACACAAAGAAACTTTTTCCCCCCCTTGGTCTACATTTTATTGGCACTTAAAGGTCAATTATCATTTCATATTAGAGGTGAAAGCAGTAATATATCATAGTTTAGCAAAAAGCTTACACAGGTCTAGCTTCTGTGACACTCAGAGAGATTTCTCAGGCTGCTAGAGGACAGTAGATCACAATATAAGAACAAATGCTCTAAATGGTTCAGAAGGCAAAAAATAATCCCCCTTCCCGTGCTGATTTCTATGCCATTAGAGAAAAGTATTGTTTAAGGAGCTCTGCAAGAACCTTCTAAGGAGCTCAGACTTCATTTCCCAAGAGGGTTCACATGCAGAGAAAAGTACTGACAGGCAGAACACTCACTTAAGCAAGGGATTGATTCAGCTTTGATGCTCAGAAGAGATCCTTAGTTAGGAAAACACTGAAGATAACAAATAAGTGGTTGAAGTAGGTCCCCATCCCCACTTGCCCTCGCTTTATCTTCATTTTGAGTTTCCAAGAACTTAGATAGGTCAATGGTTTGGGACAGATGTAAAGACAGAGGAAAAACCACTTCTGTTCTACCCATTAGGCTCCTGCCTTCTGTATCAAGGGTGAAATCTTTCAACCTTGACAGGCAATGATCTACCAGAGAGCCAAAACCTGCTGTGGGATAGAGTACTAAGCTTCCTTAAATGATACCTATCTGGCGGGCCACGTGGTGAAAGAACACTGAATTTGAGAATTAGAAAAAGATTGTCTTGATTGATTAGCTGAATTCCCTTGTTTGTTTTTTGGTACTGGGGAATGAACCTGGAGGGGCGTTCAACCACTGAGCCACATCCCCAGCCATTTTTTTTTTGTAGTTGAACACAATACTTTTTTTAAAAAAAAATATTTATTTTTTTTTATGTGGTGCTGAGGATTAAACCCAGAGCTTCGCATGTGCCAGGCTAGTGCTCTACCGCTGAGACACAACCCCAGCCCCCACCCCAGCCATTTTTTAAAAAAATATCTTATCTAGAGACAGGGTCTCACTGAATTGCCGAGGCTGGCCTTGAACTCCTGATCCTCCTGCCTCAGCCTCCCCAGCTGCTGGGATTATAAGCATAAGTGATTTGCCTGAGTCCCATGGTTACTCAGGTGTGCTGATTTCTGGTCCTATCTCAGGCTGCCTATTAAGCTTACAGATGTATTTGCAGGACCAGTGTGCTCCATCCGTTAGGAATCAGAGAATTAAGACAACAAGAAGAGACTAGTGATGTCCCGGTGCTCAAAGAACAGAAAAAGTGAACCACAGAAAATACTGGCTGCCAGATTGGATGCTGATTCTCTGGCAAAATTCTTTAATGCATGATTGATTGGGTTAATTCTTTATCATCATTTAGAAAGATCTAGTTTTTCAATGGACTTGCTTATTTTTCCTCATAGCTGAATTAAAGAATATTGGCAAATTGAACACTCATGTCTATGGGCCCTCCATTAGTACAGTATAAAACTAATGATGCACTGACAGCCTTAACCAGCCATTTCTTTGTTGTTTTCTAGGTTTAAATTAATTTCAATGCCATCTATGTCTATGTGTCATTTAATATTGTAAATTTTTCAAATTAAGATAATTTTTTTGAGTATTTTAGATAATGTCAGTATGTTTTCTTGTGAGCCTGTTAGATTGTGCTACTGGTAGAAGCTGGCAGAAATAACAACAACTAAGGACACTTGGCAAAAACCCACTGACATCTTAGGTTGAGCAACACTCTGCTGATACTGCATTGCATTTTTTCAAAGCATGCTACTTGAGAATTTGCAATTAATAGTGGCTAGACTGCATTTAACTAGTCTGCTTTAAGTATTTCTTCTCTTTATAAAACAAAACAAAAAGTCATTATGAGAGGAGTGCTCTGTAGTAGTATATAATCAGAAATAAAAGATACATTTTATCAGAAATAAAAATGTGGTACAATGTAATTAATCCGGAAAGAAGGACTTCCCATATAACACTACCATTTGAACTTAAAACTATGTGGCCACTCACATTCATATTGTACCATACAGCATTTCAAAATGTTTATTTTAATTTCTGATTCAGAAATGAAAATTGAGAATTCTTAAATATTTTTTTCCTAGTGAATGTTAGAACATTCTACAGAGAAAGAAGCTTTTCATATTTGTCCAATTAATTATATTATGTTGTTGGATTGAGTATGTGTGTTTGGATTCGCTTGATGTTTTTGGGTCACATTTGATTTTTGGAGTTTTTTCTGAAACCTTGGGAACCCATCTAATGCCAGTGTCAGGGCTCTTAATTCCTCAGAAAAAGTTCCTTACAAAAGGAGTCATTTTAAGAAATCACTGAAAATAACTGTATCATTATGTATTTTCTTTTCACTTAAGCTACATCCTACGAGTCTTCTGGGAATTCTCTTGCAATAACAGATCATGCTTTCTTGGTATTCATTTCAGTTTTTAACAAAACAAGTGAACATTTTGACTTACGTTGCACACAAGCTTCCATATAGACAAACAAACTATGAAGGGAAGGCCAAGATAAAATGTCTTTGATTTTTTGGGAGCTTGGAAATGCCATGAAGGAGAAGACTACTCACAGAAACGGACTAAACCAAGTTAGTACCTATGTCATCTGCGCCCTTTCAAACCAAGCACTGAACCTTTTGCAGCACAGCTTGTGCATGCACCTTTGCCCTTAGATATCTGTCATGGGGCCATGTCCAAGCACCAGGGAGGAAGCCAAGAGGGAGGGTTATCTGCTCAAGGCCAAGGGAGGTAAGAATCCTGGGGTCTTGGCAAACTCTCAAGCTCCCATTTCTCAGGGGAGGACTTAACTTGTTGACATCCCCGAAAACAGTATTTCCCAATAGAATTTCTATCCAATAAAGTACAACTTTGTAAAATATATTGTTAATCACCAATATATTAATCGGAGGCAGAGTTTTCTTCATGGTTTTGCAAGTTGGTGACAGTCTCACAGGGTGGAATGTTTTGGATAAACTCTGAAGACCAAATGGAAATGTTACATCTACATTGGTCTTGGAGATGTTTAACCCAGCCTCAGGAACCGATGTACTTTTCCCTACCTGCATTGTGCTTTGCCAAATATTTATCTTTGTACTGCTTCTTTTTCTTGCCAAACCAAGTACAGCTGGCCTGCTGCTCCTGTTTGGTCTTCTCCATTGCAATGCAAGCTACTCGCCTAGTACACAAAGGAGGGGGAAAAAACCCACCAAAATTAATGTATACATTAATATATATTAATGTATAAAAGAGAAAGATGATTCATTTGAAGAGTTTACATGAAAAAGCATGAACACACTCATTGCAGTCTTTCAAATCACTCACAAAAGACTGCTTTTTGGTTTGCATGATGATCCCTTAGAAATGTTTAAACAGCATAGGCTTATGTTAAAATGGCATTGCATTTCTTGAACATACATCACTGATAACACAGATCAGAAACTTAAACTTGTGGCTATGAGAATGATCATGGGATTTTGAGTAGAGACAGGCCTCTTTTGAACCTTGGCTTTGCCACTCATTAGCTGGTATTGAGTACTTAGTGTTAGGCACTTTTCTAGGAATTTTACATATATTAACTCAATCTTTCTAATGACAAACAGAATTGTGTCACCATTCTACAGATGAAGAGATATTGAAGGATTGAGAGGCTAAGCAATTTGCCCGAAATTACACAGCTAGATTGTAACTTTACTTCACATCCTGTCAAAGTAGGGAGAGTCTGGCACCCAAGCCCATGACCTCAGCCAGAACATTCTATCAGTAAGGTCTTTAATCTCTTGGAGTCTCTCAGAGGCTGTTATAAAGAATTAGAAGACAAAAGGTAAATGTCCCTACCTCAGTGCCAGGCACACAGTAGATGTTTAGTAAATAGTATTCCTACTACATGACAATTCTTTTTTCTTTTTCTTTTTGCAGTACCGGGGACTGAACCTAGGAGTGCTGTACCACTGATCTACATCCCCAGACCCTTTTATTTTTTATTTTAAGACAGGGTCTGGCTAAGATGCTTAGGGCCTTGCTAAGTTGCTGATGCTGGCTTTTAAACTTGTGATCCTCCTGCCTCAGTCTCCCAAGTGAAGTCCCTGGGATTACAGGTATTCATAATGGAGCCCAGCCTGCATGACCAGGCTTAGTCCAAGATAGAAAAAAAAAAGTGTTATAATTAAATTGTTATAATTATAAGCAGAAAATTATAATTTTGGTTTACTTGATTATAGTATGCAGCATTGGTAACATAGGCAGAGATGTTAAAAAATTGTTCTCTTAGGTTTAGTCTATGCAGATACTTGCCTTTTTTTTTTTTTTTTTAAGGATGTTGCCATAGATTTTACTCTCTTAATGATTTTACTTATAGATCAATCAGGAGTCCCTGAATGAGTTATATATAAGGAAAATCCAAAATCACTATCAGAATGCCATATGGTACTATTGTAAATGTGATGTTATTTTCCAGTGGGGTTGTACTGATGTACACTCCCACCAGCAGTGTATGAGAGTTCCTACTGTTCTACTTCCTTGGAAACATTTGGTATTATTAGTCTTTAATTCTATCATCATGGTGGATAAGCAATATAATACCACTGTGTTTTAGTTTACATTTATCTGATTAGTAACGAGACTGAGCACCCCTGGATTTCTTCTTTTGTAAAGTGTCTGCTTAAATGTCTTGATTATTTTCCTGATTTGGATATTATACCTTTGTTAGTTCTACGCATTGCAGATACCTTCTTCTACTCTATGGATTGCTTCTTTATTTTTTTATGGTATCTTCTAATGAACACATATTATTAGCTTTAATTTAGTTAAATGTGCCAATCTTTCCTTTAATGAGAAGTATTTTTGATATTTTAAGAAATCCTTCCTAGTCTTTGAAGATATTTTCCAATATTACCCTCTCAAAGTTTATAGTTTTATTTTTCATGATTTGGTTTTTAATGTAAAGGAACTGAGTTTTGCTGTTTGTGTGAAGTAGGGGTCTAGTTTCTTTCTTCTTTTTCTCTCTAACAGATACCCAATTATCCCAGCACAACTTACTGAAAAGTCCGTCCATTTCAGACTGCTTTGCAATGCTATTTCTGTCATATATCAAGTGCCCATTTGTGTATGGGAGTGTTTGGGGGTTCTCTATTCTTTTCATCTGGTCTATTGGAGCATCCTTAACTTTACACTGGATTATCTTTAAATTTTATTTTTGTACCAGGGATTAAACCCAAGGGTGCTTAAACACTGAGCCATATCCTTGGCCCTTTTTATTTTTATTTTGAGACAGAGTCTCACTAAGTTGCTTAGGCCTTGCTAAGTCGCTGAAGCTGGCTTTGAACTTGGATCCTTCTGCCTCAGCCTCCTGAGCCGCTGAGATTACGGGCATGCACCACCATGCCCCACAATACTTGATTATCTTAACTACTAAAGTTTTATAAGTAGTCTTAGAATCTAATGGAGCAAGACATCCTTATTCATTCTTCAAGAACATCTTGGTTACTCCTTAACAAATGTATTTCCATGTAAACTTTAAAGTTAGATTGTCAATTTCAAAACTGTTGGGATTTTGGCTGAGGTTGCACTGAATCCATAAAATCAATATGGGAGGAATAGATTTTCTACAATATTGAATCTTTCAGTTCATGAACACAATATGTCTTTCTGTTTTCCTTAATGTTTCAATACATTTTATAATTTTTTCTATAAATTTCTCGAATACCTTTGTCAGATTTGTTTCCAGGTTTACTGATTTAAACAAACAAACAAGGCATTGTAAATGGTATTTAAAAACTACTTTGTAATGATGAAAATTTCAAACACATATGAGAATATAATGAAATGAACCTCAGATACATACAGCACAACTTCAACAATTATTACTCATAACCTTATTTGATTTTTTAAATTTTATCTCTGTGATATCTTAAGTATGCTCCTTTACCATTATCATTTCTTGCAAATGGGTAATTAATCTAGAGACCTAATCAGATTCAGGGTCAATTTTTTTAGAGCATCATGGTGTTGCAGGTGGTATTATATATGGGATCATTTAAAAGTTTTACTTTCTGTTTGTGACTGGTAAATAGAAGTGGAATTGATTTTTAAATTTTAAGTGTTTTATTAGTTAATTATATACAACAATGGGGTTTATTTTGACATATTCATAGATGCATGCAACATAATTTGCTCCATTTTAATCCTTAGTACTTACTCTTTCCCTCCCAGCCTCCCTCCCCATGATCCCCCCTTTAAACTACTCTACTGGACTTCTATTTATTTATTTATTTTAAAGTTAGTGCATTATAGTTATACATTAAAGTGAAACTTACTGTGATATATTCATACATGTACATGACATAATTTGGCCAGTTTTATTTCATAGTTCCTTCCTAGAATCAATTTTTAAAATATTGATTTTGTATCAGCAAACTTGCTGAACTGTCATATTAATTCTAATTGTTTATCTATAGATTCCTTTGAATTTTTATGAATCACAAGATCTGCAAAATTTTTCCTTTTCCAATAATGTTTATTGTAGATTTCCTGTAGATGTCCTATATCAGGTTAAGGAGGTCCCCTTGAATTCATGGTTTGTGGGAGTTTTAATCAGGATTGAGTGTTGAATTTTATCAAAATTTTTTTCTCTATCTACTGATATGACCACATGGATTCTTTTCTTTAGTCTGTTAATAGGTGGATCAGGCTGATTAGTTTTCAAATGTCAAAACAGCCATTTACTCCCAGTATAAATTCCACTGGGTCATGATGCTTTGTCCTTTTTATATATTGCTGGACTCAACTTGCTAATATTTTGTTGAGAACTGTATGTGTGTTCATGTTGAATACTGGTATTCTTTCTTTCTGTACTGGGGATTAAACCCAGGGGTGCTTTATCACTGAGCAACATACATAGCCCTTTTTTTTGAGACAGGGTCTCACTAAGTTGCTTAGAGACTTGTTTAGTTTCTGAGGCTGGTTTTGAACTTGTGATCCTCCTGCCTCAGCCTCCTGAGCTGCTGGGATTACAGGTCTGTGCCACCATGCCTGGCTGGGATGTAGTTTTTTTGAACTGCCTTTATTTAATTTTGGTTTTGGGGTAATAATGGCATCATAAAATGAGTTGGGAGGTATTCTTCTCTATTTTCTTAAAGATATTTTTCTCCATGCCTCTTAGCTTTTCTTGTTCACTGAGGTTTTTATTTATTTTTGTTTAGGGAGAAGACATTTACTGGGAAACACTGTGACCTATCAGTGATAGCATCACAGCCAATCTCCACATACTACCTTTGTGGCATACAGAGGAGGCTGATGAGATCTTCACTTTGGAGATTCTTCTGGCTCAAGTCAAAATATACAATAGTCTCAATTAATTATAGCTTCTCTGAGGCACAAGATTATTGGAAACATGAACAGAATTAAGAATTTTTGACAAGTTAAAAAAAGACAACCCTTGACCTTGTGAAGCCTATGTTATCAAGTATACAGTATCTTACAATAACAAGTTCCCAGTAAAAGTTGGTGGTGTGGTCATGTGTGGTATGATAGAGGAATGAAAGTGACTTTTTACCAGCCACTCAGGAAACCAATGGCAATTCTTTAGCTCAATCAGTGCACAGAAACTGTGTTAGGGTTAAGGTCAACGTGGAGGGAAATTTCAAATATAGCTTTGTGACTGATGTCAACTTTATTATCAGAATTAAAATCTCAGTGGCCACACACCTGTTAGAATGACTTTTAAAAGTTTCATATAGGGGAATGCCATTCAGAAAAAAAATAAATATGTGATATACCTGTTAATTAATTGGTACCTTTGTTCATAGGCAAGGGTAGAGATGACTGATTCAGAGACCCAAACATACTAAAGACCTAGATTGATGTGACTACAGCAGGACATTTGGGTCAAAAATTTTTGATTTTTCATCTAGCAGATGTGAAAAATGTGACTTGGTAGCAATACATTTGAATAAAACTTCTAGGTCTGGCTGATGATATTGTTTCAAATCTTTCTGGTAAGTATTTCATGCATACTGACATTTTAGAGCCCAATTCCCTTTCTCAATAGAGGGAAGCTGCTTTTTCTCTTGAGCCACTCAAGAATGGCTTCCTGTATCCCCTAAAGTCCTAATCAGATCTTAAGGGACATACCATCCAGTGGGTTTCTTCCTCATCATCCTGGTCAGAGTTCCTATCTCCTTCCTATTAAATTTTACAACTTTAATTTAGTTCATTAATTTTTCAAAACTGAACATATTTAAAATGGACAATTTCATCAGTTTTTGATGTTATGTATAGATCCCATGAAACCATCATTGCAATCAAGATGAACATTTTCATTACCCCTGGAATTGTAGCAGGCTCCTCTGAAATCCCTTCTTCTCTCCATCCCCTCCCTATGTGCTAGGCAACCATTATTTCTATAGATAGTTTACATTCTCCAAAAGGTTATGTAAATGGAATCATATAGAATGTCCTCTTTTTTGCCTGGATTCTTTTGCTCAGTAGAATACTTTTGAGTTTCATCCCTACTATTGTATCAATGGTTTATTCCTTTTTATACTGGGTGGCATTCCATTTGTACGACTGTGTCATCACTTTTTTATCCATTCACGTGGTGGAACATTTTAAAGTCATTCTAATAGATGTGTGGTCCTGAGATTTTAATATTGTTACTATATACTCCACCCCCCTTGAAAGTTCTTTTTCAAATATGTCATGTCATTTATATTTTTTCTGTTCCCTATAGATGATTTTTTCAAGCTTGTTGTTGAATATTTTAAAACTTGGTAATGCTGATTTTAAAATATTTGTCTTCTAATTCAATATACCAAGTGGGTTTGAGTTTGTCTTTGCTGTCATTTCTTTTGGGTCTTGCTTGTTTCCTTGTGTGCTTGGTGATTTGGACTTGCCAGTCACTGCCCTGGAAAAAGTTAATGTAGGGCGTTAGGATGAAGTTGTGGGGTTAAGATCAAAGTGTTCTTTTTAAAGAGACTTTCTTTTTGTTTATATCAGATATGTGGGACTATTAATAAGGAAAATGGAAACTTCAAACCAAATACATGGCTTGGGTTTCCCTGGCTGTCCCAGACTAGATACACCTTGGTCTGAATTCATTCAAGGTGGACTGGTGGCCCCAATTTTTTCAGGGGAGTTTGTTTCCTCTTTACTTTTGCCTTTTGCTTTGCTCAGTGATAAAGCAGCCATCTCTATAGTCCCCTGGTCAAAGAGGAGTAAGGCTCTGCTGTTTACTTTTAACTTGGAGGTATCACCTTTTATAGTCCTAATACTGTGGGGGAGGGTTTCTTAACAGATTCCTCAACTTGTTTAGGCTGCAGGGCTTAACCTTGGTCCTCTGGCAAAGAAGTGTTCAGTAAGGGCAAATGTCCCTCCTGGGAAAATGCACCAATTTGGGCATTTCAAATTTCTGCTTATCATTCTGATTAAAAGCTTTCATAGAAAAAATTGTCCACTGAGTTCTCTAGTACCTTTTCAACTATTCAGTGTGTTCAAGGCCTTTTTAAAAAACATATTTTCTGCAGCACTTTTCATTTTTTTTCAGCAGGAAGATTAATCGAAATAACCTAGTCCACCATTATGGGAAAAAGGAAGCAAATCTGCTTTTTCCACTGACATTTCTCAGGATTCCTTCAGAGGACTCCAAGTTCTAGGTATTAGTGGGACATGATTTTTTTAATAGATGATCTCATTAGGGAGAAGAGGTTTGGGATCTACATAATTATTTTTGATAAATGTTCATAATATATGGCAACACTCAGGAAAACATTTTGTAGAATGTAAATCTCTGTTAAAAGCATAACAGAAGCATCATCAAAGCGATTTAGAATCGCTTTCCTCTGGTTTATGCTAAACTGTTTCTTGAAGATCAGAGTGAAAGACAAGGCCAGATGGAAGTAAGGCTGCTGCTTGTCTGGGCCCACGTATCCTCATGTGGAAAATGATGGCATCTGAAGTCCTCATCAGCTCCAGCATTCTAAATTTAAGGATATTTTTGGGAAACATGGGATAGCTGAAAGAGGTGAACAAGTAGAAGAGATTAACTAAGATAACTGAGAAAGCTCTCTTTTTTTTTTTCCTACACTGGGGATTGATCCCAGGGCCTCACACATTGTAGGCAAGTGCTCTCCCATGAAGCCACATCCCTAGTCCTTTTTATTTTGAGATAGTGTCCAGCTAAATTACTGAGGCTGGCCTTGAACTCACAATACTTCTGCTAAGCCTTCCAAGAACCTGGGATTACAGAGGGGCATCACTGCACACAGTTGAGAAAGTTCTTAATTATTGAAAAAAAAATGGGTGAAAAAGTCATTAAAAATGTCTATGCACTTTGGCTTCTTTTAACTGAGTTCAAAAAATTTTTTTTGTGCTTATGGTTGTTATTTTTTGTTACATGAAACAAAACCCAGACATTGGGTTATTTCTTTTGAACTAGATTTCTGGTAGAAATTGCCCAAGTACCAACAAAGCTAAGACCATGAACATTAAAAAAAAATCATTTGCACAAACTAGAGCAATGATAGCAGAAACAGATTTTACTAAAATATAAACTGATCCATGTCTCTTCTCAGTTAAAACAGGGTCTGACAACCTTGTCTGACATTAGCGTGCTTTCAGAGCCTTCCTCCTTCCTTTCTTTGTTTGGTGCTGGGGATGAAACCCAGGGCCTTTTCCATGCCAGGCAAGTGCTCTATACCATACAGCCACATCCCTAGCTCATAAAAGGCATTTTTAAAGAATAGTAAGGCAAAGAAAGAAGCTTCTGGCTGCCTCTCTTCCAGGAGTAAACATTTTTATTTTTAAATGCTCTGAGTGAAAAAAAAAAAAGCCTGGGTGATACTGAATCAGGGCATGTGGGTTGTTTGCTGGTGATGGGGCCCTGTGGGCATGAGAGAAGAGCAAGGAGGAGGTATATTTGTAAAAAAATGCCACTCTAAAGGAATTGCGACAGCTTATGAGAGTGGAGGGCTCTGCTGGTGTGATCCTGTGATCCCACGCCTGTAACTCAACTGCTCTAGGCCTTCTTTTGCTTGTACATAAAACTGCCGTCTGCTGAGGACTCAGAATTCTTGGATGGCTGATTTTGGATTTTGTCTGGCTAGCAAAGCAAGGTAGGTATCAAAGAGATTTTGCAATATGAAATAACATAAAGTTGAACACTGGAAGGGCAGGGTTTCATTTTTATTATAAAACAACAAAAGCATACCATTCCTGAAGTTCAGGAGAAGGGATGAGGCCTGCGGTTCCATTTTTGGAGTTTTCCAGTTTACCCTGCCACCAGTTGTGATCATCCTTACTAATAATTTGGATGATGTCACCAACTCTGAATCGAATGCCAGCTTCTTTGCAGGGGATGAGGTCATCCTTGGCTGGATCATATTCAAATTGTGCTCTTACATAGATCTATAAAATAGGAGTTTGTAAGAAAGGAGGCCATAGTGATGTGAAGGAAAACAATAAGCACTAATCTAATAACCACACACCAACACTTAAAGTACAAATAGGACAGAAGATGGGGAAAGCAAAAACGATGCATGGAAATACGACACAAAAGACTTTTCTACACCACTATAAACAATGTATTGCCTTTGATGTGTAAGGGTTCAAAACTTTGCTGTTTTTATTTGGAAGGAGCATTTAAAATACTCATTAATTAAAATAAATACTTCTTTCTGCTTTTAGTATAACAGAATAGGTCTGTAATTACAGAGAAGCATGCTTATCACTTTTTAAACCTACAGTTGTTATATTGATGTCATGGATAAGTTGTCATGACAACATGGCAGCCTTTGAGCCATAAAGACTAGCAGTCAGGGTAAGTCTTAACCCTAAAGCAGCACATTATATAAAACTAGCAAGAACTTTGGGCTGGTGTCTTGAAAAACAAGGTGTACATGACAACTGGCAGTGGGTACACTGCTAATAAACTTAAATGTAACTCAAGCAATTTTTTAAAAAGTCAGTTAAAAAAGGATTTAGGCTTTATACTTGTGTTTTATTCTTCTGAGAGAATGAAAAATAAATTTGAACCCTAGTTTTGCCAACATAACACTTGGAATCGGCACAGAACTTCAGGATATGTCTAGTTCAAAGCTCTGAGTTTTAGGATATGAATTTACTTAGCAAAACATCCAAGGGTTATAATATGGCAGCATTTTATGATTTCTAAATGCTTTAAAATAAGGTACTATAAACTGATGTTACACAGTCTTAGGACTAAACTGTGGATGAATTCTATCAAGTGCTAATTTATGCAATTCTGAATTCAATTTGAATTATTTTTAACACCACATTTTAAGAAATAATTTCATAAAAAGTCTATCTCTTGAAATTAAATTTGAATATTAATGTTTAAGTCACTGTAAAACCAACCTGAAGGCTTTGGAACCATTGTATATTTTTTTTCTGTTTATTTTTAGCAATCCAGCCTATAAAATTAATGAGTTTCTGTATTTGCACCTAAACCCGTATTTTAAAAGTGCTGGCAATCTGAAAGTTACTTGGTAGTGTTAGACAGCACTTAACTATTCATATTTAAACAAATGCAGGTATATTAGGATGTAAAGCCAGGATGTTTATCCTTTTTCTCTTATTTTTAACTGTAAATGGTTTTTAGGAATACACATGCAAATACAAAATGTTAAGAAAAAGCTTTCAACTTCAGAAAATTGTTTAAAAATGTTCATCAGCATGTATCTTTTGGTTATTTTTAGAATTTTATGGATTTTATAACCTTTAAAATTCTTTTCCACCCTAGAGCCAGCACAAAAGACCCTTCAGGGCTGAAGTCAAAATTATCAGGTTGAAATTACAATAACCATCACAGCTACAAAGATGTGAGGAGCAAATCTTTATAGAGAATTAGTCACGTGTAATGTGTTAAAATGAAATGGTACAAGCTCTCAATGCTCAAATGTTATGGTCCAAAATGCAGACATTATGGGATGGAAAGGGTTAATAAAGGATTGGCTATTAGCAGCTCAGTTTAGAGAAGTTTCTATAGAGGATATCTATTCACCTGTCGTCCTTTTGGTTGGGTAGTTGATGGCAAGTCCTGTAGAATAAAGCCAACCCAGGAGAAAAATTTTCATTTACTTGTCAAGAGCACAAGGTAATTTGTGTGTTCTGTTACAATATGGTTAAAAAATGAGCTAGATTTAAGTTGTAAAGAGATCATATACATTATTTCAGTTCTCAGAAATGTTGAGTTATCAAAAAAATCAAACCCAGGCCATTTAGCAGCAAGCTGAAGAAAGCAGGTAAGTTGAAGCAGAGAGAAAATGTGTTCTTAAGAACCAACTCAGCATCTTCAACACAAAAGCCACTGCAAGTGAAATAGCCTATATATATATTTTTTTAAAAAACCACCCCAAACTAAAAAGAGCTATTGCCCTTTTCAACTTAGTCACTGCAACCATTTAGATTTAGAAAAATTCAATGACTATATGGATTTCCACCATCTTAAAAGCATTCAACATTAAGTGTTATAAATGAGTTCCTTTGGTAGCCTATTTTAAAGTTGGAAATAAAGTCATGGATAATTTTCTTCCAGAATTTCGGTTATTGACATACTTAGAATATCATTCCATTTGAGATGATTTTGAAATTATTTACAATTTTCCTCGGCAAAAAGTTGATATATTATTTACAGGCAAGTTAAATATCAGTTAAAAATACTGCTGCATTCTCAGAACTATTTGATAATTTCAACTGGGTGACAGACAGCAGCATCAGCAACTTAGAGAAAATTTGGTTACCCCAAAAGATTGCAAACCTGCACCTGTAAGTGCTTCTGCTTATTTAAATAAATTAAGAACAATTCTTTCTGTATTCCAAAATGGATGGTTTGGAAAAAATGGAAAATTTCCATGTTCAAGTAAAATATAAAGTACTTTGTGTTAAAGATGTGATAACAGCGTGGCTTAAGTGCAGTTTGAAGCCAGTTCCTTTTGCTTTTCATATTCAGGCAAGGCTTATAATTCACAAAATATGTGCACGTACCACAATAACAGAGGGCACACCAATTCGTAAACTTAGATAGCGGAAACTAAACATGTTGCTGATATACCTCAGAATGGAAAACTACAAAGCCCGAGAATACCCAAATGCCTCCTCTGCAAAATCCTTACATTTCTTTATCTTTTCTCAAATTAAAAAAAATATTAGAAATTTAAACAAATCTCCACTTAGATCCTTTGCATAGATTTGTGAAAAGTCACACATCCTGGTAGGGTGGCATAGAGATATTTCAGAATGACCACAGCAGTCTTGAGCTACATTTCTTCAAATGTAATGAATGCATGGGATTTTTAAGGAAAAGGAAATGTTTAAAAAGATTTTCCAGGAGTAAACTGCATTGTAGCTGTAGTAGCCTTGTATATCCGCAGGAGACAATATTTCCACTGAACACATGTAACTAGAACACTCATGGCAGGTGAGCACCAACAAAATTGTCACACTTTGCTGTGTGGAGCTAGAGTTCTTACCGAAACAGAATTGTTAGTGCTGCTATGACCATTAGCAGGGGACTGTCTGGAAGTGGAGGGGGAATCTCTCTGAAATAAGACACAAGGTTCATTAACAGCACAGAAACACAGAGAAATTTACATTAATAGTTACAACCACAGTCTGACAACCATTTCCTTTGAGGTTTGAGCTATAAAGCTGTCATACTGACTTACTTGCATGATTTCATAGAAGTATGAACGAAATTTTTGCAGTTTGGAGAGTCACATATTGTAAGTGACGACTTACAATACGTGAATCAATCATTTCTTTTCTGTCTACTTCATTCTAAAATCTTTGCTTTCTTTTAATGAGACCCGGCAGAGTGATGCAATGTTAAAACCCTACCATGTATCATGAGATGACAAATATTACTATGAAATTGTTGTGCTGAAGATTCCAACTGCCTGATTTTTATTAAAGATTAGGTTTGAAAGGTCACTGATAGTTGGTAGGTACCTCAGTGTCAAGAATTACTGAACAACTCATGTTGTAATCACCTTAGTATCTTTCCAGAATAATTATTACTGATCAGGGCAAAAGATAAATATACACCCAAGAAGAACTCTTTTGCTTTGTATCATTTTAGCAGACTGATTAAAACAATGATCTGGAGCCTATATCAATGTTCTACTTCTGGCCAAGATTCTAGAAGCCACAGCTGCTCTTCCATACTCCTTGCCTGCATGCTCTCTGCTATTCAACACAGTCAAAATCCTTTCCTTCCCTTAGTGTCCAAATGAACTTTCATAAGAACAAGAATTGGAAGAAAATATGTACTTCTAAATTTTTTGGATTAGTAGAATTCTTCTTAGCCTTTGACGTGTGTATTTTGGCTCAAAAGACATTTGTTTTTCTCCTAGAAGATTTGAAGAAAACATTTTAGCTTTAAAGGGAATCAGATCCTTTAGAGGGACATTCTCAAATATTAGTGAGTAGGCTGGTCTGCAGGTGCCACCCTTAGAGACTCAATTCAGCAGGGGCAGGGTCTACTTCTTTTACTAAAGGCCTGGGAGATGTAGGTGGCCCCAACGCCTTTCTTTAGGAAGTTTTGTCCTGGATGGGAAGAGTCCTGTTGCTTGCTTGAAGGCTGTATGACCACAGGAGGGGCAAAAAAGTTGGGGTGGGGCTAGGAGAGGAGTATCATTATTTTCTTTATTATTCAAAGGTAAAGAAGGTGAGAGGGAGTTTCTCCTTACTCAAGAGCATAGAATTTTCATGTATAATTACTGGTTGCATCCCCAAAACTAGTTCAACCACTTAAAAAAAGACAAACTTATGATACATTAATAACTTATAATATATCTTCAGGTTAGTTAGCTTTAAAAATCAATTATATTTACTAAATTTATTCAACAGATGAGAAATGGTGTCAGGAACCCCTGGGATTTTAGACTATTAAAATTATTAACATAAAATGTACATGTGATATTCCCTCTTTCTGGGCAAGGTTTGTGCTTTAGATAACAAATTTCAATACTCTGAAGTCTGGAGTAGAAGCAGTTCTGCATTTTCTTTTGTAATCTACCGTTAATTGAAGTTCCCTAAGAAGCCACCAAGAGGAGCTCAAGACCCAATATAATGGACACCCCAACTGTCATGGCTCACTAAAAATATGCTTGACAAAACTACAAATTCTTATGCATGCCTTGAAAAGGTTTGGAAAAAAAGGCTCTAATTTTTTGTGAAACCAATAGCATCAACTAGAGTCTGGAAGAAGTGTTAAAATTTCTCCCTCAAATTCTTCTAAATACAAGTCCAAGAAATTGCCCACCAGCCTTCAAAAATTAACTTTAGATAATGTGTACCTCATGTAGATGTACACATACTTGGAAGATGCACATGAAAGAGCAAGCTTAATATATAATACCTCAGTGGAATGATACCAAAGAATGATACTGTCTATGCCAGTTTAAATCTCCAACTAGAAAAGGAAGAAATTTTGGAATCTTACTTAATAACCAACATAAACCTGAATAATATAGTTGGAAGAACTACAATTTCTATAGGCTCAACCCTATTTTAAGAAAGAAACTTTGGGGTTGGTTACTCTAGAAAACTTACTTGCATACAAATTACTTAACATTCCAAATAGAAACAATATTACACGAGGTTGCAAAAGCCTCTATCCCTGTAGCCAAGTCAGTTACCACTGCAGCATCTATCTTGAGACCTGTCACAACTATTTGAACAACTCTATCTCAACAGAACTATAATATTTCTCAGATTCTTGGAAAGAAGAACTATCTCTGTGATTTCTTAACAAGGGAAGTGAATGTACTTCCTGGAAATATTACTGCAATTATGATCTTTCTTATTTTTTTTCCTCAGAGACTCCACTTTTTTTCTTTATCAGGTCTTATGTCATTCTTTGCAGCTTCTCTATATTTGGCTTAGATTTCAGCCTGCAAAAAGTTCAAGTGCTGAGGAGATCCACATGAAAGCAGGGCTGTGTAGGTGGATGGGAACTCCTTTGTTCCGTTATCTTTGTTGTAAAATTGGTGTGCAGTGATCTAACAGCACAGGCAGAAACAATTTCCCAGAAAGCAAAAACATTCAGCCATCAGCAGACAGTTAGTTAGGAACTCAGAGGAGATGGGGGTGGTTTGTCAGAGTCATTACCTCACAGGACGAAGACTGAGTGCGGTAGCTTGGCACGATCTTGAAGGTAATACTCCCCCGCATTTCCCTCTGGAGAGACAAAAGGAGAGTTCCCTTACCGTAAATGTTGCACACCAAAACACAGAAGAAACCACTCAAAACATGTGGGAGCAATTAGCACGAGCCACCTGTCAGCACACAGCCCTAAAATGAAACCTAATTATAAAACCATGGGCTGTTTGAGTTTATAGTAGAAGTTTCTGGAAAAAGCCATGCAAAGTCAAGGCCAATTGCTCTGAATCTAGCCCTCGTCTCACAGATATCTGATGATTACATCTTTTTATAGACATGAATACAAAACACTCTAAATGACATAATTTTCAAAAGTGACTCAAAATTGAACTAAACTAAGAATGACATAAAAATCCACTTGGTATATTATCTGTGGTGGAATACTCCAGAATATTTGACTTTGACTTTATTAATTTTGGCTTTTTTATTGTAATGAATCTGCAGTGCTTATTTCATACTTAACAGGTACTCATGACATGGGGAGCTGCTACACTGTGGTAGGAAGAGGGACTAGAAGTCCAAAATCTCTCCTTCTGCTCACTATGACAATGAATCTAGGCAAGAGCCATTCAGCTTCTTCTTCTTTTAACCCAAAGTCTAATCTGAGCATAGATTTTGGATAAGTACAGTCAAAATGCCTGGTCTACAGTGACTTTCCTCCCCTTTGTGCCCCAGAGAAATCCACTCAGCTAAACAGGAAAGAGGTTTTTGACATTGCTTATGTCAGGAGAGTTGAGATCAGTGAGAAGCCAGATCACATGAATACACATTGGAAAGTTTTTTTTTTTTTTAAATATCTGCTTGTAAGAAGTGTATAAAGGATAAAAGCAGAGTGTTACAGCCCACGTGCTAAAGGCAGACAAAATGTTTCCAAATTCGATTACATTTATTTTCCTAGTTGTTATTTTTTATGAATGTTGGAAAAGCTCACATAAATGACAGGCCCAGAAATACTGTGATTATGAACCAATACCCATTTCTTGTGTATTAAATAACAGATAATTAACTGAAAGGAAAAGGAAACTCATTTACTTACAAGCATTTTTTGCAGCTGTTCCACTGTTTGGTTAGCCACACTGATGCCATTGATTTCCCGAATTTCATCACCAACATGAAGTGTACCTAAAAGAGTCCACAAAATTACAAATGTGAAATGATATATGACTTTATAATGATAAAGTCCAAAGACAGTAATGTAAAAAATTCAGTTATATACTGAAGGTCAATATTTTGGAAACAGTTACAAGTTTGGCTGCTGCAGAATTATTTAACTCATGCAGTCAGCTCACCAAAAATATACATGTGGAAGGCACAGTTTCGATGGATGACCATGGAAATCTGATTATTATTTTTTTTTTCTGAGAGAGGTGGTGTGAATAGTGGTTTGAAAAGATGGCTTCAGGAGATAGCCTGTCTGAGTTCACATCCCAGTTTAGTCACCTATGAGCTTTAAGTTCTTGGGTAAGTTACTAAAACTCTCCATGCCCTAGTTTTTTTTTTTTTCACTTTTTAAAGTGGCAATAAAAATGGTACCCACCTCATTGGACTGTTTTGAGGACTAAACCAATTTAATACCTACGGAGGGCTTAGAATTGTTCTTGGCATATGGAAAGTGCCCTGTAAATGTATGCTGCAATTATTATCTACCAAATATGAGAAAAAGGTTGTCACTTTCATAAGGATTATGATATAATGACATCTACATAACACTAAACTTAAATATCATTTAATCTTCTTTAATAATTTGATGGGCACTTTGGCCTTCCATATACTTCAACTGGAAAAGTGACAAAGAGACAATACTTAGAGTGTAATTTATAATTTGGCTTCCTTATTTAAAAATTATGCACATACTTATAAACTGCTCTGGCTTCATTATGAAAAAGTTAGGGTGTTTTTTAGAGGTACATACTAAGTTGCATATAAATAAAATGATAAGATGCCTGAGGTTGCTTTGGAATAATCTAGGGGGCAAGCAGGTAGGGCAAATAGTAGAAGAAGGTAGTGCTGCCATGGATATGTTGGCATTCATTGTACTATGCTGTCATAATAAAATTTAAAATGAAAGTTGGGGGATTTTTGCTTCCAACATGGCTGATTGGGCACTCAAAGACTTTCTCACAATGATATGCTGCCTGGGGCCTACTTTAAGAGTTACAGGTTTCTGGGGCTGCAGCTGTGGCTCAGTAGTAGAGCTCTTGCCTAGCATGTGAGGCATTGGGTTCTTCCTCAGCACCACATAAAAATAAATAAGTAAAATAAAGTATTAAACAATGTGTCCATCTACATCTAAAAAAAATTTAAAAGAGTTATAGGTCTCACAAAAGGAGTATACATTTTTAAGAACACCTCTCATTTTTCACCCCCGTCCTTTCCTCCATACAAAAGAATCCTGTGAGCTGGATCCAGAGTGGTGCTGAACTAAGGGTGGAGGGGCTTACTGGAAAGGATGCCTGCTAGAGTAGCAATGCTTCTGGACCTTGGGCCAGCAGCAAGTTAAAGAAGATGCACCTAGGATTCTGTAGGGAGCCATGACTCAGATCAGTGGCCCACTATGGTAACTGGCAGAACACAGAAGAAATTCTCTCAGGAGGAAAGTTCTCAGTTTAGGCCTAAAAGATTTCCATTGACTAGAACAATCAAAGAGTGCACATCAAAGATCACCAAAAATATAGTATGTCAAGCTACTATGTGTGAGAGCTATCAGAAATAGCACAGACTTAGATTCTCAAGGATCTAACAGATGCTACAATGATCAGATACATAATATAAAATAGCTATATGATAAAAGATTCAATTGCAAGATAAGCACCCAATAAGAGATGAGCAGGTATGAACAGACAGATCTGAAGATAAAATAGACAAATGACTATTACTTCTAAAATAGTGTAAGTATTCATAGAAACTAATGAATGGATGAGTTAAATAGGAGTTCAGATATAGCTAAAGAGAATTTCAGGGAATTGAAAGATATAACCAATTATCTAGAATGTAGGTTAGAGAAATAAAGATATAAAGAAAATAGGAAACAAGAAATAAAGAAAATAGGAAACAAGAAATAAAGAAAATATGAAAAAGACATTAAGAGACATGGGGAAAATGTCTAACATACTTCTAACTGAATTTCAGAGACAGAGGGAGAGGGAGAGGGAGAGGGAGAGGGAGAGGGAGAGGGAGAGGGAGAGGGAGAGAATGTAAAGAGAATGGAGAAGAGGTGATGTTGGAAGAAATAATGGTTTGCAAATTTTCTTGAATGGAAAGGCAGGATGGATCATCTATAAAGCAAAGACAATTGTAGTAATGTCAAACTTCTCAATAACAAACAGTGCTCCCCAAAGGGTAGTCCAAAATGCAAAAAGGAGTGGCAAGTAAATAAAATTATAAATATTTATATAAACCCAAACAAAAAGTGGCCATATATTTTAATATTAATTTTAATTTTTTTTACATTTTAAAATAGGATTGAACTTGAACTAGAACACTGGGCAGGAAGAGTACATAAAAGCATGGAATTTATCATGCTTTAGTTCAGATACCAGTACCTCTCCTTCCCCTTCCCTTTCACTGGACACCCCCCACCAAAAAATACATAAGACAGAGTGTGCTTAAATTGTGTTCCAATGTCTACATGGTACGTTGTTTAAACTTTGGTATATGGGAAGTTAAATGTGCATGATAATATTTTGAGATAACCACTAAAATAATACAAATGGGGTGCTGAAATTCTAAACTATCACTGGGGGAAAATGAAATTAAAAATTCACAATAAAGGCTGAGGATATAGCTCGGTTGGTAGAGTGCTTGCCTCGCATGCACAAGGCTCTGGGTTTAATCCCCAGCACCACATACACACACAAAATGAACAATAAAATCAATTAAAAGATAGGATAAATATAAATAAAAGGTGAGATAGTAGAAATAATCATCAGTCTTTTAATGGACTAATCCAAACTTTCTGCAGTGATCATTAGAGTGTATTAAAAAGTGAAAAGCTCAGCTTTGGAAATGTTTGAAGAAGACACACTAAAGTATGCAAACAGAATAATTAGAAATAAAAGGATGGAAGAAGACATGCTAACAAATACTGAAGTAAGGCTGAACTAATTATATGAATGCACGATAAGACAGGTTTTTAAAAAATATTTATTTTTTTAGTTGTAGTTGGACACAATATCTTTTTTTATTTATTTTTATGTGGTGCTGGGGATTGAACCCTGGGGCCTTGTCTGTGCTAAGGAATTGCTCTACCACTGAGCCACAACTCCAGTCCCAACAAAATAGGTTTTAAGGAGAAAGTTATTAAGGTTATAAACGGATACTAGGCACTTGTACGTACCTAGTAACACAGCTTCAAATATATAAACCAAAACTGAAGATCTATAAATAGATATCTAAAAACTCTACCATGATAATGAGGATAGTTCAATGATTACTGATAGACCAAGCAGACAAAAAAATTAGTCAAGACATAAAAGATTTAAAGAAAAATATTAACAATACCAAGCCAATCATCACATAGGGAACTCTGCAAACAACAATTGAAGAATAAGACTTAAGTTCACACATGGAGCACCTACAAAATTAATTAAAGTGCTAGACCATAAAGTAACTCTTAATAAACCTCAGAGAAATATTGTCTTGCAGACTACATTCTCTGCCCACAATGTAATTAAGTTAGAAATTCATTTTAAAAAGACATACAGTGCTCGGTGTGGTAGCACATGCTTGAAATCCCAGAGGCTCAGGAGGCTGAGATACGAGGATCAGGAATTCAAACCCAGCCTCAGCAACTCAGTGAGTCCCTAAGCAAATCAGTGAGACCCTGTCTCTAAATAAGATATAAAAAAGGGCTGAGGATGTGGTTAAGTGTCCCTGAGTTCAATATTTGGTATGGAAAAAAAAAGACATACTGAAAATCTTCTCAAAGTGGAACATATAAAACACTTTTAAATAACTTACAGGTCAATGAAAAATACAACAGAAACAGAAAAGTACTCAAAAATGCTGCATATCAAAACTCTTAGGATCTAGATAAAAGGTACTTAGAGGAAGATTTTAGTTTTAAATGCATAAATTAGGATAAAATAAAAACTGAAAATATTTTAAACAGTTAGCCAAAACCAATAGAGAGTAAAAGGAAGGAGATAATAAAAATAAGAAAACATAAATAAAATAGAAAATAAACATGGAGAGAATGAACAGAACTCAAAGTAGGTTTCTGAACAAATCTCTGGCAAGGTTAATCAAAAGGAGGGGCTGGGGTTGTGGCTCAGTGGTAGAGCACTTGCCTAGCATGCATGAAGCCCTGGGATCAATCCCCGGCACCACATAAAAATGAAAAATAAAATAAAGGCATTGCGTCCATCTACAACTAAAAAAATATTTAAAAAAGTTTCTTCAAAAAAAAAAAGGAGAGAGCACAAATAAAAATACTGAAAATGAACATGGGGGCATGATTCCAGAGATGGTAGAGAATAAAAAAATTAAGAGAATACTATGAAGAAACTTTCTGCAATAATATTTAAAAACTTAGATTTTTAAGGAAAATATAATTTACCAAAACTCATTCAAGAAATAAAAAGCCTGGGTGGCCTTATGAATGTTAAAGAAATTATAGCTGTTGTAAAAATCAAAACAAAACTTTCCAAAAAAATTAAAACGAGCCAGATGCAATGGCATGTGCTTATAGTCCCAGCTACTTGGGAAGCTGAGGTAGGAAGATCATTTGAGCCCAGGAATTTGGGGCCAGCCTGGGCAACATAGCAAGACCCTGTCTACAAACAAACACAAAAACAAAACACTAGGCTTTGATGCTTTTATAGGCAAATTATATACCAAATCTTCAAGGCAGGAATCATTCAGAAATTATATAAAATCTTTGAGGGAATCAATGTAAACAGAATGCTCTCCAAATAATTCTATGAGGGCTTGTAGAATTTAACTTTGAAACTAGAATCAGAGAAGTACAAGAAAGGATAATTAAACACAGGGCAGACTCATAAATGTAAATACCAAAATTTACATTTAACAAGACAGTAGTACACCGAGTTCAGCAGTACATAAGAAGGCTATAAACAATGACTAAATTAGGTTATCTGATAAACACAGAGCAGTTTATCATTAGGAAGTCTTTTAAGTCATTCACCACATTAATAGACAAAAGAGCAGATTGAAAAAGCATTTAATAAAATTCAAAACCCAATCATAATTAAAAATGCTCAGCAATCATGAATACAGTGGAGCTTCCTTAGCTCTAATAAAATGTAAGTACTAGCTGGACACAGAGGCACATGCCTGTAATCCCTGCAGCTCAGGAGGCTGAGGCAGGAGTATTGCAAGTTTGAGACCAGCCTCAGCAACTTAGCAAGGCTGTAAGCAACTTAAGGAGATCCTGTCTCAAAATAAAAGAAAAAGAAAAAGAAAGGGCAGGGGATGTGGCTCAGTGTTAATCACTGGGTTCAATCCCTGGTACCAAAAAACAAAACAAAACAAAACGAAAACAAAAACAAAAACATAGGTACTTAAAATCTGAAGTTAACATTATTCTTTCTGGGGAAACATTGTGAAGATTCCTTTTACTTATTTAGTTTTTATTGGCATAATAACTGTACATCTTTGGAGTATAGTGTAATGTTTGTGTACATTTATACATTATGAGAAATGCATTTTTAATTAAGAAAATGTTGTATATACAAATTGTTTAATAGTCAAGGTCTTAATGTTATATTCTTTTATAAACAGCACACCAGAGCTTCTTGCTCCTGTCTAACTGTAACTAAGTACCCATTGATCAACCTTTCCCCCACTTCCATTCACTGTACTCTCCTCAGCCTTTGCAGACACCATTCTACTCTCAGTTTGTACAAGATCGATTTTTTAGCTTCTACGTGTGAACGACATCATGTGCTTGTCTTTCTGTGTCTGATATATTTCACTTAACACAATGATCTCCATTTCCACCCATGTTGTTGCAAATGACAGGATTTCATTCTTTTTTTTTTTAAATGGTTGAACAGTATTTCATCGTGTACATGTACCATGTTTTCTTTACCCCAAGATTCCTTTTAAAAATAGGAATGGGGGCTAGGGATGTAATTCAGTGGTAGAACTCTTGCCTAATATGCACGAGACCCTGGGTGCAACCCCTAGGACAACAAATAAATAGTAGATAAATAAATTAAAAATAAATACATAGAGAGTTTTAAGAAATAATGATGTTGTGCCGGGTGCAGTGGAGCACGCTTGTGATCCCAGCAACTGGGAGGCTGAGGCAGGAGCATCTCGAGTTCAAAGCCAGCCTCAGCAACTTAGTGAGGCTCTAAGCAACTCAGTGAGACCCTGTCTCTAAATAAAATACAAAATAGGGCTGGGGATGTGGCTCATGGTAGAATGCTCGCCTAGCACCTGCGAGGCCCTGGGTTCGATTCTCAGCACCGCATAAAATAATAAATCAAATAAAGGTATTGTGTCCAACTACAACTAAAAAATAAATACTAAAAAATAATTAAATTAAAATAAAATAAAATACAAAATAGGGCTGGGGATGTGGCTCATGGTAGAATGCTCGCCTAGCACCTGCGAGGCCCTGGGTTCGATTCTCAGCACCGCATAAAATAATAAATCAAATAAAGGTATTGTGTCCAACTACAACTAAAAAATAAATACTAAAAAATAATTAAATTAAAATAAAATAAAATACAAAATAGGGCTGGGGATATGGCTCAGTGATCGAGTGCCCCTGAGTTCAATCCCAGTACCCTTCCCCACCAAAAAAACAAACAAACAAACAAACAAAAAATATGTGCTATCTCCTGAAAGTAGAAGTGAATTCCCTTCAGGGTTGATTCCACCTTCAAAAAAGTCTGCTACTGAACATCCAGAAGCACAACAAGAAACCTGACAATATTTTTTTTTATCTGCCTTCAAAAGTAATATATCTCTTATTTTTAGTTCAAGTAACTGCGTTTACTTAAGTGATTATACTTTTGCTCCAATTGAAGCTTAATGGAATTATAACTCTTAGGATAGTATTTTATAAATAAAGATGTTTATGAATCTTAAAAAAATATGTGCTATCTAAAGCTGAACATCCTCCTGTGTGAGTTCTGAATGTGATCTATGCCTATAAAAATTCCCCTGAAAGCAGCAGTCATGTCAGACACAATCTTGCACACACAATGGTCATCTCTAACGAGAATAAGGCACTAAAATGCTTAGGCTGTTACTTCTTGCTCTCCTGGGATAAGGAAAGAGGTTTTAAGTACAAAAATAACCCCATCTCAAAGAAAGAGAGCCTGCTAGGAGAATCATTTTTGGAACATCCTCTGAATACTAATGTGTATAACTCAGTCCTTTCAAAGGGGGAGCCTAAATCTCTATGTCCAAAATCCTGCCCACCCTTGAAAGTTAACTGAGGCTTCACTTTCTTAAAATATTATTCTTTAGCAACATCAGTCCTTAGTGAATTTCCTCCTCTGAATGACTGTACTTACTATATATATAGCAGGTTTTAAGAATTTAATTGTTAATTTGACATCTCTTATTTTACCATTTAATTTTTATATTATTTATCTAATTCTCTGTTGTCCTCATTTATAAATAGCATATCACTTCTGAACGAGTAAGATCAATTCTTAAGCTGTTATTTAACTTTTTATATGTGTATGTGTATTCTGAATAGATATTTTCCCTATATCCTGCAATCTATGTGATATTTTGCTTTATCTCCCATGGTCTTTATTTATTTATTGCTACTGGGGATTGAACCCAGGGGTGCTGCACCACTGAGCTGCATCCCCAGCCCTTTTTATTTTTTTATTTAGAGTCAGGGCCTTGCTGAGTTGCTGAGGCTGGCTTTGAACTTGTGATCCTCCTGAGTCACTGGGATTCAGGCATGAGCCACCAAGTACAGCTCTTACAGTCTTTTTTTTAAATATATTTTTTTTACTTCATACTCATAAGGATGGTTATTTTTTTATGTTTATTTTATTTATATGTGGTGTTGAGGATCAAACCCAGGGCCTCACACGTGCTAGGTGAGCGCTCTACCGCTGAGACACAATCCAGCCCGCCCACCTTGAACAGGTCTTTTATGTGGATTGTAAGAAACACTTGTCTTCATAAGGCTACTGGAAAAAGTTAAGGAAGGCAAAGAAAGAATTATAGATGAAACTTACCTTGCCTGTGAATCATGCCCCCATGCATAATTCTTGCAACAATACAATGATTTAGCTCATTCATTTTTAAAGTGATTCCCTATAAAAAGAAAGCCCAGGAAAAACAGAGTTAGTTTAATGGAGCACTTCTTCTTAAAAATTTTTATTAGTACATTATAGTTATACATAATTGTGGGGTTCATTTTGACATATTCATAAATGCATAACATAGTTTTCTTCATTTCAATTCCCAGTACTTCCTCTTTTCCTCCCTTCTTCCCTCCCCAATCCCCTCTATTCTTCCTTCTTTTTCTTCTTTTTTATTAAAAACATGGTGCATTACAGTTATATATAAAATTAGAATGAATCGTGATATATTCATAAATGCATGTAGCATAATTTGGTGAAGAGAGCACTTCTTTTATATTTGTGATTTTGCTGTAGGTAATTTTAATTACCAAGAGTTAGGAAAATATTAAAAGAAAATATGGAAAATAAATGCCCTCCATTATTCTACACACAAAATAAATGTTCCATAACACAAAGACTATCTTGATATTTTGATTGCTATAATAATGGCATGCATACATTGTATGTAGTGCTTTCTAATCTTCTAATTATAATGATTAAAACTTCATCATTTTATGATTATAACTTTCCATGTTGCTTTATTTTTCATATTGCCACTTTCCTTCCTCCCTCTCTCCCTTCCTTCCTTCCTTCCTTCCTTTCTCCCTTCCCTTTTCCCTTTTTTGGTGCTGGAAATGAAACCCAGGGCCTCATTCATGCCAGGCAAATGCTCTATCACTGAGCCACACCCCCGGCACCCAATATTTTTTCACTTTTGTTTTGTTTTGGGACAGGATCTCACTATGTTGCCCAGCCTGGCCATGAACTTGTGATCTTCCTGCCTCGGGCTCCTGAGTAGCTGGGACAACAGGTGGATGCCACCATGCCCAGTCTTGCCAATTATTTTCAAAAAAGTTTTTATTGATGTTTAATGAACACACATATTTAAAGTGTACAATCTGACAAGTTCAACATATGTATACATATGTGAAACTATCATTACAACCAGGATAGTGACCATATTTCTCACCCCAAATGTTTTCTCATGCCTGTTGGTATTCTCCTCCCATCTGTCCATGCTCTCCCCTCCTTCTTCCCCAAGCAACCACTGACTGGCTTTTGCTGACTATAAATTAGTTTGTACTGTATATAGATGGAATCATACAGTGTATACTCTTTTTTTTTGTTTCTTTCACTCGGCATAATTATTTTGAGATTCTATCGTGCTATTGTTCTTGCTGAGTAGTATTCCATAGCATGGGTGTAGGAGTTTGTTCATCCATTCACACGTTGCATTGCTTCTAGTTTTGGGCTATTATAAGTAAAGCTGTATTCCCGGGTTAATCTCCATGAGGTCATAATATCCTCTTTTTAAAGATATGGAGGTGGATGCCTTGGCATTTTTTTGTAATCCCAGTAACTAGGGAGGTGGAGGCAGGAGGATTGCAAATTTGAGGCTAGCATAGCAACTTAGCAAGACCCTGTATCAAAATAAATAAAAAAGGCCTGGGGATATAGCTCAGTAGTAGATCACCCTTGGGTTCAATGACCAGTATCTCTCTCTCTCTTTCTCTCACACACACATACACACACACACACACACACACACACACACACACACACAATATGGAACACTTTATACATTTGTGTATCATCTTTATATGGAGGCCATGATATTATTTTCTCTGTTGCTTATATTTTAGCATATGTGCTGCTGAAGTGAGTACCTACTAACATTTTCATATTTTGTTTGCTAAAATTTTGTCTAGAATTTTTATATCTATATTCATGAGGGACAGCAGTCTGCAGTTTTCTTGCCTTGCAATGCCATTATTTGGTTTTGGTTTCAGGGTAATGCTGGCTTTATAGAATAAGTTGGAAAAAAATTCTTCCTTTCTCTCTTTCTCTCTCTCTTTTTTTTGTACCAGGGCTTGCGCCCAGGGGTGTTTAACCACTGAGCCCCCAGCCTTATTTTGCATTTTATTTAGACACAGGGTCTCACTGAATTGCTAAGTGCCTCACCAAGTTGCTGAGGCTGATTTTGAACTCGAAATCTTCCTACCTT